ACTGTTGATGTGTCGTGTTGCATTATGTCCTACTGTGTCCTACTGTTGATGTGTCGTGTCGCATTGTGTCCTACTGTTGATGTGTCGTGTTGCATTGTGTCCTACTGTGTCCTACTGTTGATGTGTCGTGTCGCATTGTGTCCTACTGTTGATGTGTCGTGTCGCATTGTGTCCTACTGTGTCCTACTGTTGATGTGTCGTGTCGCATTGTGTCCTACTGTTGATGTGTCGTGTCGCATTGTGTCCTACTGTGTCCTACTGTTGATGTGTCGTGTTGCATTGTGTTCTACTGTTGATGTGTCGTGTTGCATTGTGTTCTACTGTTGATGTGTCGTGTTACATTGTGTCCTACTGTGTCCTACTGTTGATGTGTCGTGTTGCATTGTGTCCTACTGTGTCCTACTGTTGATGTGTCGTGTCGCATTGTGTCCTACTGTGTCCTACTGTTGATGTGTCGTGTCGCATTGTGTCCTACTGTTGATGTGTCGTGTCGCATTGTGTCCTACTGTGTCCTACTGTTGATGTGTCGTGTTACATTGTGTTCTTCTGTGTCCTACGGTTGATGTGTCGTGTTGCATTGTGTCCTACTGTGTCCTACTGTTGATGTGTCGTGTTACATTGTGTCCTACTGTTGATGTGTCGTGTTACATTGTGTTCTTCTGTGTCCTACGGTTGATGTGTCGTGTTGCATTGTGTCCTACTGTGTCCTACTGTTGATGTGTCGTGTTACATTGTGTCCTACTGTTGATGTGTAGTGTTGCATTGTGTCCTACTGTTGATGTGTCGTGTTACATTGTGTCCTACTGTTGATGTGTCGTGTTGCATTGTGTCCTACTGTTGATGTGTCGTGTTACATTGTGTCCTACTGTTGATGTGTCGTGTTGCATTGTGTCCTTCTGTTGATGTGTCGTGTTACATTGTGTCCTACTGTTGATGTGTCGTGTTGCATTGTGTCCTACTGTTGATGTGTCGTGTTGCATTGTGTCCTACTGTGTCCTACTGTTGATGTGTCGTGTTACATTGTGTCCTTCTGTTGATGTGTCGTGTTGCATTGTGTCCTACTGTTGATGTGTCGTGTTGCATTGTGTCCTACTGTTGATGTGTCGTGTTGCATTGTGTCCTACTGTGTCCTACTGTTGATGTGTCGTGTTACATTGTGTCCTACTGTTGATGTGTCGTGTTACATTGTGTCCTACTGTGGAAAGGTTATGTTACAGATAATATTTTGACATAAAGGGACCCATGGTGGACAAAATGGTGACGTCATGGCCTAGAAAATTGTGACGTATTATTTAATGAGCTCGTGTTTAGTCCAACTTGTTTTCTTGTGGAAATGACTGATGTGATACCTGACCTGCCACATGACATATAGTCTAAAAATAGAAAACGAGAGTGACAAAAATGTTTTGTTGAGTGTAGTCAACAACCAACTGGTATATGTAGGAGAAAAAGGTTATCTGGTAGATGTCATATAACATTGGGATATCATCTGGTAGATGTCATATAACATTAGGATATCATCTGGTACATGTCAGATAACATTAGGATATCATCTGGTACATGTCAGATAACATTAGGATATCATCTGGTAGATGTCAGATAATATTGGGATATCATCTGGTAGATGTCAGATAATATTGGGATATCATCTGGTAGATGTCAGATAGCATTCAGATATCATCTGGTAGATGTCAGATAATATTAGGTTATCAGGTGTAGGTCTTAAAAAATTGGCAAAGTTTAGACTTGCCAAGATCATCACATAACTAGACCCTGGCCAAGATCATCACATAACTAGACCCCGGCCAAGATCATCACATAACTAGACCCCGGCCAAGATCATCACATAACTAGACCCCGGCCAAGATCATCACATAACTAGACCCCGGCCAAGATCATCACATAACTAGACCCCGGCCAAGATCATCACATAACTAGACCCCGGCCAAGATCATCACATAACTAGACACTGGCCAAGATCATCACATAACTAGACCCTGGCCAAGATCATCACATAACTAGACCCCGGCCAAGATCATCACATAACTAGACCCCGGCCAAGATCATCACATAACTAGACCCCGGCCAAGATCATCACATAACTAGACACTGGCCAAGATCATCACATAACTAGACCCTGGCCAAGATCATCACATAACTAGACCCCGGCCAAGATCATCACATAACTAGACCCCGGCCAAGATCATCACATAACTAGACACTGGCCAAGATCATCACATAACTAGACCCCGGCCAAGATCATCACATAACTAGACCCCGGCCAAGATCATCACATAACTAGACCCCGGCCAAGATCATCACATAACTAGACCCTGGCCAAGATCATCACATAACTAGACACTGGCCAAGATCATCACATAACTAGACCCCGGCCAAGATCATCACATAACTAGACACTGGCCAAGATCATCACATAACTAGACCCCGGCCAAGATCATCACATAACTAGACCCCGGCCAAGATCATCACATAACTAGACACTGGCCAAGATCATCACATAACTAGACCCCGGCCAAGATCATCACATAACTAGACACTGGCCAAGATCATCACATAACTAGACCCCGGCCAAGATCATCACATAACTAGACACTGGCCAAGATCATCACATAACTAGACCCTGGCCAAGATCATCACATAACTAGACCCCGGCCAAGATCATCACATAACTAGACCCCGGCCAAGATCATCACATAACTAGACACTGGCCAAGATCATCACATAACTAGACCCCGACCAAGATCATCACATAACTAGACCCCGGCCAAGATCATCACATAACTAGACACTGGCCAAGATCATCACATAACTAGACCCCGGCCAAGATCATCACATAACTAGACCCCGGCCAAGATCATCACATAACTAGACCCCGGCCAAGATCATCACATAACTAGACCCTGGCCAAGATCATCACATAACTAGACACTGGCCAAGATCATCACATAACTAGACCCCGGCCAAGATCATCACATAACTAGACACCGGCCAAGATCATCACATAACTAGACCCCGGCCAAGATCATCACATAACTAGACCCCGGCCAAGATCATCACATAACTAGACACTGGCCAAGATCATCACATAACTAGACCCCGGCCAAGATCATCACATAACTAGACACTGGCCAAGATCATCACATAACTAGACCCCCAAACAGCTGGACATACTAAACGTTACCATTACATTCAGCCCCAGCTAAACCCAACCCTTGCTGTGACGTCAGTCACTCCCTTGTTAGGTTGATTCCTGACGCCAAGCTCACTCTACTTCCTCTACACGGTAGAACTAAAATATTCTCTCTGTGCCCAAATCAAAATTCCTTTCTGCCCAGATAACATTTCCTATACAGCGAAAGATTGACAGGCCAAAATCTAGTCCCATTCTACCTAGGGGAAGTAGAGTTTCTGACATTTGACTTTCATTTTGGCTGTTAAGTAGGTCATTAGCGGATAAGTTTGTTTTGAGTATTGGAACAAAACTTCCTCCACCCCCCCCCCCCCCCCCCCTATGCTGAAGCACAAGTCGATGAGGAAGTGAAATGTAGACTAGACACAATGTAGCAAATGTTTGACGTGTTGTGACCTGCTAGGTGGGGAGGGGGGGGGGGGGGTGAAGGGGTGCTAGACCAATGCAGATTTGCTTGTCGCCCATCTCCGTCACTCGTACACATCTTTGTTTTAAATTTGTGATGTTTATTTCTGTGATAAGTATGTGGTCATTTCTATCATAACAAGTTCCTAACAATGTGGTGTACTGGTTCATCGTTTTATCGCTCTTTTCATTTTCTCGTATACAGAGTATAGAGGTGGTATTGTAATCGTGCACGAAAATCGCATGACGTTTTGACAGTTTTCACCATTTTACACCTCAGTACTTTATAGGGAGTATAGGGGACTCATTTTTATCGGGCAAAAATTATAAGTCCAGATTTTTTTTTTTAATTCGGCGTTTTATGCGTAATCGAGTCGGAAAACAGTGCTTTGCAATTCACCTGTATGTCTTAGCGTATGTCCATGAACACGATAACTTGAGTATCGTTACAGCTATGTTGATAACATTTCTTATATAAGTATGAAATCAAATTTGTAGTTCTGTTTCAACTTTTCAGCGATTTCCGGTAACCGGAAGTAGAATGTATTCTATTTTCGTCTTTTTCAAAAGCCTATAACTTGAGTACTTTTTATGATAGAGATAAAATTTCACATATAAGTAGAAGCGCTAATTATACGTTTTCTGTCAAATTTTAAGTAATTTCCGGTGACTGGAAGTAGTACCCAATGCTATGTCTGATTTCTCAAAAAACGAATATGAATTTATAAAGTACTAATGTTCCGCACTATTATACACCGATTGTTTGCTGTTCACTTTGAGCCCAATTCTTTTTTTATCGAGATTCTGTTCTATTTTTAAAAGTCTAAGTAATTAAAAATGGATATAAAATGTTGTCTCTATCCCGAGTTGCCATCCCCCGTAGCGTCATATAAGAATATTCGAGAAAATTTAGGGGATATAACTCCCACTTTATTTTATTCAATCAGATCTCAGCCTGAGAGGTATGTTATTTAAAAAGTTGATGTTATTTTAAAAGTTGATGTTATTTTAAAACTTGATGTTATTTTAAAACTTGATGTTATTTTAAAAGTTGATGTTATTTTAAAAATTGATGTTATTTTAAAACTTGATATTTCCTCAGCCACATGAGCCAAGGGGACCTCACCACGTGACAAACCCTAGCCATAGACTGTTTAAATAACGGTTACGTCACATGACGTCATGTGCTGACGTCCACGTGACGTACGTCACAGATCTGGCATTAGAGACATGGAGCAAACGTCCCGACCACCGCCGGGCGGGAGTAAAGATGGCGAGGTTGGCGGGCAGGGGGTGGCTAGTCAGGGGGCGGTTCATGGTGACCAGGGGATGGAAGCAAATGTCAAAGACAATCTGAACACTACGTCACATACGTCTGACGCCACGTCACATACGTCTGACGCCACAGCCGGTCATATCCACCAAATCAAGCACATCAGCGTGGTACACACCGGACGTGACGTCACCGATGTCGTACGAACAAACATCGTTAGTAGAATATTGGCATCCGTCGCTGGGGAACCGCATCGACCCACCTCCAAAAGTGCGGCGTCCATGACGCAACGTCTGCAGCAGCCGTCAGCCAAACGAAGCGTCGAGTTTGAGGAGGTCGCACTAAAAACGTTCGCTAATCAAACGTCTGAGGCGGCGTCAGGTTTTGAACCCGGCGCCTCAACGTCTAATTCCACCCGCGCATCGCAGAGAAAAACTAAACTGGGAATTCCCGATTTGTCTGCAATAAACAAGGCCCGCCATCTTGATCAGACAAGGGGAGACAATTCATTAAGAGAAACCCGTAAGGGAGGGAAGAAAGTGACTGTACTAGAAATTGGTGGGGGGTCGGGTCAAACAGGGGCTGGCAACTCTAGCAGCAAGGGGCCGTCAGACGAATCTTCGGGAAAAGCCGCGCGGCGAGTGAAGATTGATTCCCTGTCTGGGAGGAATAAAGCTGCGCCATCTGTCGATTCTAAAGAGAACTTAACTGCAGACATTCCTCAAGAGAACTTAACTGCAGACATTCCTCAGAGTTTGAGCACAGATTCTGGTATAGGCAGCCCGACCGACGTTACAGGGGGGGTGGGTCACGTGGACGAGGATATTGATGAGAACATAGCAGACGATAATCACGATAATCCTAGCGGCTCGTCGTTGATACATCGCACGTCCACCGTCCCCTCAAATCAATCAACTCATTACCGCCCCTGCCCCAACCAGGGTGACCTCACATCCTGTGTGACAGCAGACGACAATTCCTGTGTGACAGCAGACGACATATCTTTTCCCACCAGACAAACCACGCCAAGCTCTAAAACAACAACACAAAACCAAGATTTCAAGGGAGAGAATCCGAAGACTCTAGGTAATTTTCTCCCCTGTGAAAGAACAAGCGATGTTATCTCCCCTGGCTTGCCAGACGTCACCGTTCCAACCACACACCCGGACAACACCGGGGCTAGCCAATCAGATTCACTGACCAACTCTGGCAGTCTGGAGTCGAGAGACCCACTGACCAACTCTGGCAGTCTGGAGTCGAGAGACCCACAGACTAGCGAGGTGCTCACGGAGGTTCTGGCTCCTGGTGTGTGCGCTCTTTCAAGGTCAGAGGTCAGCCAGTCGTGGGGAGGAGGCCAACCCGTGGATGGTGGAGTGGATGTCACAAGTGTGGATGGTGGAGTGGATGTCACAAGTGTGGATGGTGGAGTGAATGTCACAAGTGTGGATATTGGATGTCACCATTCACTCACTGCTTGTCTGACAAGTGACACAAACCTTAAGGTAAGCTTGTGACATGTCATTTTCTTCTTCTTCTTCGTTCTTAATGTTTAGTGTTGGAAGGGATCGAGCCTTATCTGCCAGAGGGTTTGAACTCGAGACCTTTTTTTCGAATTTATCAACCATGAGCTTTTGCCGACTCGACCACGCCTCCAACACAATTAAGCGTTACGTGTCAACTGGTTATGCGCCACTGAAGCCATTGACTCCGATTTCAGCCTGCTTTTTTTTTAGGATTTACTTACATAGCCTTTGTCCAACCAAGAACAAACTGCAAGGCAGCAGTTGTTTGATTTTGGAGTTGTCTCTCCTTGAAGAGTGGCTAACGAGCCTCATATGCCCGGGGGTTCGAACTCGAGACTTTTTGGTCTAGCAACCATGAGCTTTACCGACTCGACCACGCCGACCCCTATGTCATCTTCTGACATGTGTTATGTGTAATGTCATCTACTCACGTGGTTAATGTCAGGTTTGGGGGTCAGAGTGTGTGGGTACAGGGACCTTCTGTCTGTCACAACAGGGACCTTCTGACTGTCACAACAGGGACCTTCTGACTGTCACAACAGGGACCTTCTGTATGTCACAACAGGGACCTTCTGTATGTCACAACCTGGTTACAGGGACCTTCTGTATGTCACAACAGGGACCTTTTGTATGTCACAACAGGGACCTTCTGTATGTCACAATCTGGGTACAGGGACCTTCTGACTGTCACAACCTGCGTACAGGGACCTTCTGACTGTCACAACAGGGACCTTCTGTATGTCACAACAGGGACCTTCTGACTGCCACAACAGGGACCTTCTGTCTGTCACAACCTGGGTACAGGGACCTTCTGTATGTCACAACAGGGACCTTCTGTATGTCACAACATGGACCTTCTGTATGTCACAATCTGGGTACAGGGACCTTCTGTATGTCACAACAGGGACCTTCTGTATGTCACAACAGGGACCTTCTGTCTGTCATAATGTGGGTACAGGGACCTTCTGACTGTCACAACCTGCGTACAGGGACCTTCTGACTGTCACAACAGGGACCTTCTGTATGTCACAACAGGGACCTTCTGTATGTCACAACAGGGACCTTCTGTATGTCACAATCTGGGTACAGGGACCTTCTGTATGTCACAACAGGGACCTTCTGTATGTCACAACAGGGACCTTCTGTCTGTCATAATCTGGGTACAGGGACCTTCTGACTGTCACAACCTGCGTACAGGGACCTTCTGACTGTCACAACAGGGACCTTCTGTCTGTCACAACAGGGACCTTCTGTCTGTCACAACAGGGACCTTCTGTCTGTCACAACAGGGACCTTCTGTCTGTCACAACAGGGACCTTCTGTCTGTCACAACAGGGACCTTCTGTCTGTCACAACAGGGACCTTCTGTCTGTCACAACAGGGACCTTCTGTCTGTCACAACAGGGACCTTCTGTCTGTCACAACAGGGACCTTCTGACTGTCGCAACCTGCGTACAGGGACCTGACTGTCACAACCTGCGTACAGGCACCAATCTAGTTAAAGAAACCTAGGACTTTGCTTGTAGGTTTAAGGTAACAACACTATGTCCCATTTTTTTATCTATACATTTTTAGCAATGTCCCAACCACCATAGGACAATATCCTGACCACCATAGGACCATGTCCTGACCACCATAGGACCATATCCTGACCACCATAGGACCACATATCCTGACCACCATAGGACCACATATCCTGACCACCATAGGACCATGTCCTGACCACCATACGACCATGTCCTGACCACCATAGGACCACATATCCTGACCACCATAGGACAATATCCTGACCACCATAGGACCATGTCCTGACCACCATAGGACCATGTCCTGACCACCATAGGACCACATATCCTGACCACCATAGGACAATATCCTGACCACCATAGGACAATATCCTGACCACCATAGGACCATGTCCTGACCACCATAGGACCATGTCCTGACCACCATAGGACCACATATCCTGACCACCATATTTAACTAATCACAGTGGAATAATTGTCGGGCCAGGGGCCACGGCGTCTAGCTGGCTATGTTGTGGCCAAGACGTACAAGTGAACTAACTGGTCCGACCATTGATTAGAGTTGGTGTCCTGTATAATGGGCAGACAATTTCACTACACTTTGGGGCGGGAGCCAAAAGGAGTTGAGTGCCCTTGCTTGTTTTTTAGATTTATTTTATTTTGGTTTTGTTTTGGGTGTAGTTTTTTTTAATCGGTTGAAGAGAATGTGTCTGTTGGGGGGGGGGGGGGGGGGGGGGGGCTAGTCAAAACATTTTCCCGTGTGTTATTGGCTGGTGGAATTGTTTGCATAGATAGATAGATAGATAGATAGATAGATAGATAGATAGATAGATAGATAGATAGATAGATAGATAGATAGATAGATAGATAGATAGATAGATAGATAGATAGATAGATAGATAGATAGATAGATAGATAGATAGATAGATAGATAGATAGATAGATAGATAGATAGATAGATAGATAGATAGATAGATAGATAGATAGATAGATAGATAGATAGATAGATAGATAGATAGATAGATAGATAGATATGCCTATATTTCTTGAAAACTTGTGTGTGGGTGTGTAAATACGAAAATAGAAATACGTGTAGACTGTAGACGGATGATAAAATCGATGATATAAACTTAAGCTCAGTCTGGGAAAGTAAAAATCATATCCCATCTATTTCCCATATCCCATCTATTTCAATAGCCGACAGTGGAACACGAGACGGCTGACCATACACTGGTTCTCACATCCTACACACTCGACTACACGTGGGGTTCTCACATCCTACACACTCGACTCCACGTGGGGTTCTCACATCCTACACACTCGACTACACGTGGGGTTCTCACATCCTACACACTCGACTCCACGTGGGGTTCTCACATCCTACACACTCGACTCCACGTGGGGTTCTCACATCCTACACACTCGACTACACGTGGGGTTCTCACATCCTACACACTCGACTCCACGTGGGGTTCTCACATCCTACACACTCGACTACACGTGGGGTTCTCACATCCTACACACTCGACTCCACGTGGGGTTCTCACATCCTACACACTCGACTACACGTGGGGTTCTCACATCCTACACACTCGACTCCACGTGGGGTTCTCACATCCTACACACTCGACTCCACGTGGGGTTCTCACATCCTACACACTCGACTCCACTGGGGTTCTCACATCCTACACACTCGACTCCACGTGGGGTTCTCACATCCTACACACTCGACTCCACGTGGGGTTCTCACATCCTACACACGTGGGGTTCTCACATCCTACACACTCGACTCCACGTGGGGTTCTCACATCCTACACACTCGACTCCACGTGGGGTTCTCACATCCTACACACTCGACTCCACGTGGGGTTCTCACATCCTACACACTCGACTCCACGTGGGGTTCTCACATCCTACACACTCGACTCCACGTGGGGTTCTCACATCCTACACACTCGACTCCACGTGGGGTTCTCACATCCTACACACTCGACTCCACGTGGGGTTCTCACATCCTACACACGTGGGGTTCTCACATCCTACACACTCGACTACACGTGGGGTTCTCACATCCTACACACTCGACTCCACGTGGGGTTCTCACATCCTACACACTCGACTCCACGTGGGGTTCTCACATCCTACACACTCGACTACACGTGGGGTTCTCACATCCTACACACTCGACTCCACGTGGGGTTCTCACATCCTACACACTCGACTCCACGTGGGGTTCTCACATCCTACACACTCGACTCCACGTGGGGTTCTCACATCCTACACACTCGACTCCACGTGGGGTTCTCACATCCTACACACTCGACTCCACGTGGGGTTCTCACATCCTACACACGTGGGGTTCTCACATCCTACACACTCGACTACACGTGGGGTTCTCACATCCTACACACTCGACTCCACGTGGGGTTCTCACATCCTACACACTCGACTACACGTGGGGTTCTCACATCCTACACACTCGACTCCACGTGGGGTTCTCACATCCTACACACTCGACTACACGTGGGGTTCTCACATCCTACACACTCGACTCCACGTGGGGTTCTCACATCCTACACACTCGACTCCACGTGGGGTTCTCACATCCTACACACTCGACTCCACTGGGGTTCTCACATCCTACACACTCGACTCCACGTGGGGTTCTCACATCCTACACACTCGACTCCACGTGGGGTTCTCACATCCTACACACGTGGGGTTCTCACATCCTACACACTCGACTCCACGTGGGGTTCTCACATCCTACACACTCGACTCCACGTGGGGTTCTCACATCCTACACACTCGACTCCACGTGGGGTTCTCACATCCTACACACGTGGGGTTCTCACATCCTACACACTCGACTACACGTGGGGTTCTCACATCCTACACACTCGACTCCACGTGGGGTTCTCACATCCTACACACTCGACTACACGTGGGGTTCTCACATCCTACACACTCGACTTCACGTGGGGTTCTCACATCCTACACACTCGACTCCACGTGGGGTTCTCACATCCTACACACGTGGGGTTCTCACATCCTACACACTCGACTCCACGTGGGGTTCTCACATCCTACACACTCGACTCCACGTGGGGTTCTCACATCCTACACACTCGACTCCACGTGGGGTTCTCACATCCTACACACTCGACTCCACGTGGGGTTCTCACATCCTACACACTCGACTCCACGTGGGGTTCTCACATCCTACACACGTGGGGTTCTCACATCCTACACACTCGACTCCACGTGGGGTTCTCACATCCTACACACTCGACTCCACGTGGGGTTCTCACATCCTACACACGTGGGGTTCTCACATCCTACACACTCGACTACACGTGGGGTTCTCACATCCTACACACTCGACTCCACGTGGGGTTCTCACATCCTACACACTCGACTACACGTGGGGTTCTCACATCCTACACACTCGACTCCACGTGGGGTTCTCACATCCTACACACTCGACTACACGTGGGGTTCTCACATCCTACACACTCGACTCCACGTGGGGTTCTCACATCCTACACACTCGACTCCACGTGGGGTTCTCACATCCTACACACTCGACTCCACTGGGGTTCTCACATCCTACACACTCGACTCCACGTGGGGTTCTCACATCCTACACACTCGACTCCACGTGGGGTTCTCACATCCTACACACTCGACTACACGTGGGGTTCTCACATCCTACACACTCGACTCCACGTGGGGTTCTCACATCCTACACACTCGACTACACGTGGGGTTCTCACATCCTACACACTCGACTCCACGTGGGGTTCTCACATCCTACACACTCGACTCCACGTGGGGTTCTCACATCCTACACACTCGACTCCACTGGGGTTCTCACATCCTACACACTCGACTCCACGTGGGGTTCTCACATCCTACACACTCGACTCCACGTGGGGTTCTCACATCCTACACACTCGACTCCACTGGGGTTCTCACATCCTACACACTCGACTCCACTGGGGTTCTCACATCCTACACACTCGACTCCACGTGGGGTTCTCACATCCTACACACTCGACTCCACGTGGGGTTCTCACATCCTACACACGTGGGGTTCTCACATCCTACACACTCGACTCCACGTGGGGTTCTCACATCCTACACACTCGACTCCACGTGGGGTTCTCACATCCTACACACTCGACTCCACGTGGGGTTCTCACATCCTACACACGTGGGGTTCTCACATCCTACACACTCGACTACACGTGGGGTTCTCACATCCTACACACTCGACTCCACGTGGGGTTCTCACATCCTACACACTCGACTACACGTGGGGTTCTCACATCCTACACACTCGACTCCACGTGGGGTTCTCACATCCTACACACTCGACTACACGTGGGGTTCTCACATCCTACACACTCGACTCCACGTGGGGTTCTCACATCCTACACACTCGACTCCACGTGGGGTTCTCACATCCTACACACTCGACTCCACGTGGGGTTCTCACATCCTACACACTCGACTACACGTGGGGTTCTCACATTCTACACACTCGACTACACGTGGGGTTCTCACATCCTACACACTCGACTACACGTGGGGTTCTCACATCCTACACACTCGACTCCACGTGGGGTTCTCACATCCTACACACGTGGGGTTCTCACATCCTACACACTCGACTCCACGTGGGGTTCTCACATCCTACACACTCGACTCCACGTGGGGTTCTCACATCCTACACACTCGACTCCACGTGGGGTTCTCACATCCTACACACTCGACTCCACGTGGGGTTCTCACATCCTACACACTCGACTCCACGTGGGGTTCTCACATCCTACACACTCGACTCCACTTGGGGTTCTCACATCCTACACACTCGACTCCACGTGGGGTTCTCACATCCTACACACGTGGGGTTCTCACATCCTACACACTCGACTACACGTGGGGTTCTCACATCCTACACACTCGACTCCACGTGGGGTTCTCACATCCTACACACTCGACTCCACTGGGGTTCTCACATCCTACACACTCGACTCCACGTGGGGTTCTCACATCCTACACACTCGACTACACGTGGGGTTCTCACATCCTGCACGCTCCACGTGGGGTTCTCACATCCTACACACTCGACTCCACGTGGGGTTCTCACATCCTACACACTCGACTCCACGTGGGGTTCTCACATCCTACACACTCGACTCCACGTGGGGTTCTCACATCCTACACACTCGACTCCACGTGGGGTTCTCACATCCTACACACGTGGGGTTCTCACTGAACGTCTGACTGACTGAACGACTGACTGAACGTCTGACTGACTGAACGTCTGACTGACTGAACGTCTGATTAACTGAACGTCTGACTAACTGAACGTCTGACTGACGACTGACTGAACGTTTGACTGACTGAACATCTGACTGACTGAACGTCTGACTGACTGAACGTCTGACTAACTGAACTTCTGACTGACTGAACGTCTGACTAACTGACTTAACGTCTGACTGACTGAACGTCTGACTAACTGAACGTCTGACTGACTGAAGTAAATGAAAGTCACAGCACATTGTAGGACATCGAAGATAAATAAAGTTACTTGCCAGACTTTGAGAACCCTTTCTCCAGTCGTCTCCCCCCCCCCCCTCCTCCCTCGTCTCGCGTGAAAGTGATTACATACCCTGGTACGTTATCTCGCCTACTGACATTTCTACTACAATATATCAAAATAGTTGAAACATTCTAGTCATCTTTATTTTTACCATCCCCCCCTCCCTCCATTCCACCCACCGCCACCCAACAGCAAACTATTGACGAAGTGACGTCAGTCGAAGCAGGGGAAGCAAGCCAAAAAGTTTCGGTAGTGACGTCGCCTGAAGTGATATTCCCCGAGTTCTTAACATCAGACCACATCCCACCCGAGAAACCGCTGAGGAAAAAACCCACATTCAAAGATGTAAGTGTTTACATGTTAATGTGTCTATTTAAGTATGTGTATGTGTGTCAACGTTAGTTTGTCGGTGTAAGTCGTAAGTGTATCGGTTCTATAGACGAAGTGCTTATTTCGGTAAACACATATCTATATTAAGCTTCTATTTTTAGGTATAGTAATTAATACTAATAGTTTCGCTGTCTGTCTATCTATCTATCTATCTATCTGTCTGACAAGAACGCTCTAGAGAAAACACAAGGAAATTAAAAACTCTCACAGTGAAACGAAAGACGAAGTATGACGCGGTCACATTTAGCATAGAGTAGAAAATAATCTCAGTAATATGACGTCATTGTTTCTCGAGTAAACATTGAATACAAAGGCAATTTGGTCTAATCTAAGTGGTTTGCGTGAAGAGTTTCTTTCATACAATTCTTCGGGTAGGGGCGAAGCCCCACCCCCGCGTAAGAACGTCTGAGCCCCCCCCCCCCCTCCCCAACTCAAAAGAAATTTCTTCATCGATACTCTATAATAAAATTACCGCCTAATTAATGTGTCTAATCTAAAAAGTGGTTTTCTTGCAATGGGACGGTAGACATGTTTTTTTTTGGGGGGGGGGGGGGGGGGTGGAGGGGTGGGGGGTGGTGTGGGGGTGGGGGGTGGTGTTTGGGGGGTGGGTTGGTTTCAGTGTTTCTTTCAGACTTTTTCCTCCCCGGAGAGGGGTGGGGGGTACTTGAAATTTTCGGGGGCGGGGGTAGAATTTTCTGGGAGGGGGCGGACACTGGAAAAAGTATATAATTATATTTCGTTGAATGGGACGGTAGACATGTTTTTTTTTTTTGGGGGGGGGGGGTGGGGGGTGGGGGTGGTGTGTGGGGATGGGTGGGGGTGGTGGGGGTGGGGGTGGTGTGGGGGGGGGTGGGGGGTTGGTTTTAGTTTAGAGAAAAGAGACAGCACTATCAGCCTAGCGCCCGTTGTACCCTTCCTCAACGGGCCATTTTTCTCGTAATAGATATTTTTAGTATTTTCGAACGAAAGTTCGAAAAGTGTTTTACCATCACAGGGTGAGGAAATAAACGTGTAATTTCAGTTAACTTTAATCATAACCAACCAAAACCAAAAAACAAACGCATACGTAACGCAAATATAACACAAACAAAAAAACATTAAACACAAAACTAACGCAAACAATAACGCATGCATTTCTAATAGTATAGCCCGGGGCGCCAAATTGCACCCTATCGGCCCGCCTGAAGACGCCCTGGATTTGATTTAGTGAAAGAATATAGTAACCCTTCTTATCCATTGTCTATCGCACTGTCTAAAACTACCATAGGCGCCGAATCACACCCTATCGGGGCGCCGAATCGCACCCTGTCGGGGCGCCGAATCGCACCCTGTCGGGGCGCCGAATCGCACCCTGTCGGGGCGCCGGCGGACGCGTCTGATTCAATTTAGTAACGACTATAAAGCCACATCAGCTAACGGAAATTTTTAAAAAGTTAACATAGGGGCGTTTCGGAACGGCTACTAAACAGCTATTGATTAAAAATAACTAGTAAAGAGTACGTTCAGTGTATAAAATAAATAAAAGTCAATATTTAAAATATCCGTGTTTTACCTACCACATTGCACTTTATCAATCCATGCTAATTATATAATTATTTTTTTCCAGTATAAAAAAAAAAAAAAAAATCCCGATGTAATTTTTGTTTTGTGATCTATCAAAGAATGTAATTGTTACTAATGGACTAATGGAAGTAGCGTGTACACTTTTTCCAGAAAAAAACAAACAATAAAAACTTTTGTGAAGGGTGATACATTTGATTTGATTCTTTGCACGTTACATCAATTAAATTGATACTTTTGGAAAATTAAACTTTTTTTTTAACAAAACCATCAATATTGATTTAAAATAAAAAGTTAAAAAATATAACGAAATTTAGATTTAAAATAAATACTTTAAAAATATGACATCATTTAGATTTAAAATAAATAATTTAAAAATATATCAAAGCTTCGTTTTAAAATAAATACTCTAAAAATATTACAAGATGTAGATTTATCATAAATACTTTAGAAATATAACAAAATTTAGATTTAAAATAAATACGTTAAAAATATTTTTTTTAAAATTAGATTTAAAACAAATATTTTTAAAATATTACAAAATGGCGAACAAGTCGAGTTTTTACTACATGCATGTCAACCACGCGTCTGTCCGCCACGTACATTTGAGCTTTATATATTACTAGCCGTCCCGGCAAGGCCCTGCACTGGCCTCTGTGAAAAACCTATCTGTAAAGTAATCAGCATATACCAGCATTTCCCACCCTAACCACTACCAACCAAAACACTAGACAGACTGACGACAGACAGAGGAAGCAAGCTAAATAAAAGCTTGTAAAAAAGGTACATTTTTTCCTCCCGATGTAATATTTTTTATAAAGGGAAGTAATTGTGTTTTCCTAATTTAACAAGGGACGTAAGGAATGCTAAAGAACTAAATGTAAATAATTAGAGTTTTTATGAAAGATGATACATTTTTCAAAATTGTGTTTGGTGGACATGTCAACAATTATTACCATAGGTTTGAAAAATGAAAATTGTTTTACAAAACCTTCAATATTATTTTTTTTATTATGAATTTAGACGATGAGCACTTTAGATTTTGGAATCCGCGGTTTGCCTGTCCGCTGTCCGCCACATAGAGAATTGAGCTTTATATATATATATATATATATATATATATATATATATATATATATATATATATATATATATATATATATATATCAGGGGTCGGCAACCTGCGGTTCGCGAGCCGCATGCGGCTCTTTTGATGTCGAGGTGCGGCTCTTCAGTTCCATGGACAAATAATAATTATTTTATTTTCTTCTTGAAACTAATAAAATATTAGTCTGCAACACTCGGTAATGAACGATTTAATAAATATAATCAATAAACACTCGCTATTCTATTTGCGAATTTGACATTTTATTTTCGCAAATATCTCCCTATAAGTATTATCAGCAGCTTCCTAAAGTTTCATGATCGGATGAAAGGTGTAGTAATGAATAAAAGATAAACAGACACACAAACACTTACATACTGCATACATTGATATATATATATATATATAAATATAAATAAATAAATAAATAAATATATATATATATATATATATATATATATATATATATATATATATATATATATATATATATATATATATATATATATATATATATATATATATATACCTAATCCTAATCAAAGATCATAATATTAAAATAAAAATGTTAGTGGCTCTTTAAAAGCTGGGAAATTTTGAAAATTGTAACTTTTGGCTCTTCCGTCGCAAAAGGTTACCGACCCCTGATATATATATATATATATATATATATATATATATATATATATATATATATATATATATATATATATATATATATATATATATATATATATATATATATATATATATATATATATATATATATATATATTATATATATATATATATATATATATTTATATATATATATATTTATATATATATATATATATATATATATATATATATATATATATATATATATATTTATATATATATATATATATATATATATATTTATATATATATATATATATATATATATATATATATATATATATATATATATATATATATATATATATATATATATATATATATATATATATATATATATTTATATATATATATATATATATATATATATATATATATATATACTAGCCGACCTGGCCAGGCCCTGCTCTGGCATCTCTGAAAAACGTATCTGTAAAGGACCATAACTTGTGTGTTTAGTAATCAGCATTTACCCGGCATGGCCTACCCTAACCACAACCAACCAAAACACACACAAAACGCAAACATAACACTAACACAAAACAAACACAAACGAAAACACAAAACAAACGCAACGACAAACCCAACCACAAACACAAAGAGAACACAAACACTAACGCAAACAAAAAAGCAAACGAAAACAAATCCAAACGCAAACACAAACCAAAGCACAACCAAAAAAACAAAAACACAACACAAAAAAAACGCAAACATAACACAAACGCAAATACAAACACAAACGAAAACACACAAAAAAACACAAACACAAAGAAAACACAAACGCAAAGAAAAAAAAGCAAACGAAAACACAAATGCAAAAAAAAAAAAGCAAACGAAAACAAATCCAAACGCAAACGCAAACCCAAACTTAAACACAAAGAAAACACAAACGCAAAGATAAACTCAAAGTGTCCACAGTCTAGCCTATGACGAGGTACGGCGTAACCGCCCGATTCAACTTAGTAATCGACTATAGTACCCAACTTATTCATAGTCTTTTGAACTCACGCGAACGTAGGTACCATAGCGTACACGTGAAGGCCCGGGGAGCCAAATAGCACCCTTCCGGGGTGCCGGGGGACGCCCGGATTTGATTCACTTAAAGACTATAGTAACCTTTCTTATCCATAGTCTATCGCACTGTTTAAAACAAAATTATGCAGCATAGCGCTCACATGATAGCCCAGGGCGCCAAATCGTACCGTGCAGGGGCGCCGGCGGACGCGCCTGTTTCAATTTAGTGAACAAAATTATAATACTCCAAGCTTATCCGTAAATGGAAAGAAATAAACATATATGATTTGTAGGACCTGACTTATTAAATGTTATTGATTTAAAAAATAATTAGTAAACAGTATGTTTAGTGTATAGAATAAATAAAAGGCAGTATTAAAAATACCAACGACATTGCACTTTATCAATCCCCGATAATTATGTAATTATTTTTTTTTCTTAACACCAAAACAAAGTAATAAAAAGTAAATTCTTTCTTCCCCCGATTTAATGGTTTTTTAAAGGGAAGTAACTATGTTTTCCAAATCAAGGGACGTTATGAGAACTAAAAAGCAAAATGCAAATACATTTCAGACACAATTTTAGAAATTTTATAAACGTTGATACACTTTTTTTAAAATTTTATGTAATGTTCATAATTGAAAATTATTATTCTAAGTATATAAAATGAAAATTGTTTTTAAAGACTTTCAATTGTAATTTTTTAACTCATAAATTTAGACCATGAGCACTATAATAATCTAACACTTAAATTCATCTAAGTATCCACGACAAACATTTTACAAACCTTTTACATTCAGAATTGAACTATATATATATATATATATATATATATATATATATATATATATATATATATATATAAGAAAAAAAAATATATATATGTGTGTGTGAGAGAGAGTTTGTGTTATAAATATAACCTTCCCCATGACGAATTGCTGCACCGGACACGTGTGGATTAGTCTGGTACTTGTGGATTTTCTCCCTGTGTTAGTCTGGTACTTGTGGATTGTCTCCCTGTGTTAGTCTGGTACTTGTGGATTGTTTCACTGTGTTAGTCTGGTACTTGTGGATTGTCCCCCTGTGTTAGTCTGGTACTTGTGGATTGTCCCCCTCTGTTAGGTTGGTACTTGTGGGTTGTTTCACTGTGTTAGTCTGGTACTTGTGGATTGTTTCACTGTGTTAGTCTGGTACTTGTGGATTGTTTTACTGTGTTAGTCTGGTACTTGTGGATTGTTTAACTGTGTTAGTCTGGTACTTGTGGATTGTCCCCCTGTGTTAGTCTGGTACTTGTGGATTGTCCCCCTCTGTTAGGTTGGTACTTGTGGATTGTTTCACTGTGTTAGTCTGGTACTTGTGGATTGTTTCACTGTGTTAGTCTGGTACTTGTGGATTGTTTCACTGTGTTAGTCTGGTACTTGTGGATTGTCCCCCTGTGTTAGTCTGGTACTTGTGGATTGTCTCCCTGTGTTAGTCTGGTACTTGTGGATTGTCCCCCTGTGTTAGTCTGGTACTTGTGGATTGTCCCCCTGTGTTAGTCTGGTACTTGTGGATTGTTTCACTGTGTTAGTCTGGTACTTGTGGATTGTCTCCCTGTGTTAGTCTGGTACTTGTGGATTGTTTCACTGTGTTAGTCTGGTACTTGTGGATTGTTTCACTGTGTTAGTCTGGTACTTGTGGATTGTTTCACTGTGTTAGTCTGGTACTTGTGGATTGTTTCACTGTGTTAGTCTGGTACTTGTGGATTGTTTCACTGTGTTAGTCTGGTACTTGTGGATTGTCCCCCTGTGTTAGTCTGGTACTTGTGGATTGTCCCCCTGTGTTAGTCTGGTACTTGTGGATTGTCCCCCTCTGTTAGGTTGGTACTTGTGGATTGTTTCACTGTGTAAGTCTGGTACTTGTGGATTGTCTCCCTGTGTTAGTCTGGTACTTGTGGATTGTTTCACTGTGTTAGTCTGGTACTTGTGGATTGTTTCACTGTGTTAGTCTGGTACTTGTGGATTGTCCCTTTGTGTTAGTCTGGTACTTGTGGATTGTTTCACTGTGTTAGTCTGGTACTTGTGGATTGTTTTACTGTGTTAGTCTGGTACTTGTGGATTGTTTAACTGTGTTAGTCTGGTACTTGTGGATTGTCCCCCTGTGTTAGTCTGGTACTTGTGGATTGTCCCCCTCTGTTAGGTTGGTACTTGTGGATTGTTTCACTGTGTTAGTCTGGTACTTGTGGATTGTTTCACTGTGTTAGTCTGGTACTTGTGGATTGTTTCACTGTGTTAGTCTGGTACTTGTGGATTGTCCCCCTGTGTTAGTCTGGTACTTGTGGATTGTCCCCCTGTGTTAGTCTGGTACTTGTGGATTGTCTCCCTGTGTTAGTCTGGTACTTGTGGATTGTTTCACTGTGTTAGTCTGGTACTTGTGGATTGTCCCCAGGTGAGCCTGCGAGAGATTATCTCCCTTAGCGAGTCTCCTGACACTGGCAGGAAGATTAAAGGAATTCTTAAAAGTACGAGTGTCCCAAGCTTGCACCACGTGACTGACTTGCCTGCATCACGTGACTGTCTGCAGGTCAGGAACGGTCTTCCCAAACCTGACCTGGCTTCCTGCAGGAGCGTGTCCTTCAACAAGCTACACACTAAGGTCAGTGTTCAGCGTTGGTCAGTGGGCAACATGGGTCAGTGGTCAGCGTGGGTCAGTGGGCAACATGGGTCAGTGGGGATCATGGGTCAGTGGGCAACCTGGGTCAGTGGGCAACCTGGGTCAGTGGGCAACATGGGTCAGTGGGCAACATGGGTCAGTGGGCAACATGGGTCAGTGGGCAACATGGGTCAGTGGGCAACATGGGTCAGTGGGCAACCTGGGTCAGTGGGCAACCTGGGTCAGTGGGCAACCTTGGTCAGTGCTTAACCTGGGTCAGTGGGCAACGTGGGTCAGTGGTCCTCATGGGTAATTGGGGAACATGGGTCAGTGGTCCTCATGGTTCAGTGGTCAGCGTGGGTCAGTGGGCAACCGGGGTCAGTGGTCCTCATGGGTAATTGGGGAACATGGGTCAGTGGTCCTCATGGTTCAGTGGTCAGCATGGGTCAGTGGGCAACCTGGGTCAGTGGTCCTCATGGGTCAGTGGTCCTCATGGGTAATTGGGGAACATGGGTCAGTGGTCAGCGTGGGTCAGTGGTCAGCGTGGGTCAGTGGGCAATAAGGGTCAGTGGTCAGCGTGGGTCAGTGGGCAATAAGGGTCAGTGGTCAGCGTGGGTCAGTGCTTAACCTGGGTCAGTGGTCCTCATGGGTCAGTGGTTAGCGTGGGTCAGTGGGCAACATGGGTCAGTGGTCCTCATGGGTCAGTGGTCCTCATGGGTCATTGGGCAACATGGGTCAGTGGTCCTCATGGGTCAGTGGTCCTCATGGGTCATTGGGCAACGTGGGTCAGTGGTCCTCATGGGTCATTGGGCAACATGGGTCAGTGGTCCTCATGGGTCATTGGGCAACGTGGGTCAGTGGTCCTCATGGGTCATTGGGCAACATGGGTCAGTGGTCCTCATGGGTCAGTGGTCCTCATGGGTCATTGGGCAACGTGGGTCAGATGGCACCTGATCACACGTTTTAGTTTATTCACACGTTTAACTTGTACACAGTTAAAGTTGCCGTGCTGTGAATGACCCACTCAGGTCACATGTTCGATCAACCAGATGAAACAACAGAGAGTTTAGCTGGGCTGAACAAACTTGTAACCAATTCTCAAAGTTGCGTACCAAAGTCCATATTTGACTCTACAGTGTAATGGAATCAATGGCATGTAGAGCTGACACTCGCCTGCTGACGACGACTTTTGACCCCCATGATGACATTTGACCCCCATGATGGTGCAAACCTCGCCCCATTGGCTGAGCAGACGAGACAGCTAGACGGAACTAAGAGCCAAAAATCGACTTTTGTCCACCCACAGAATGGGTACCTTGGTGACGTGGGTTGTCGTATCGATACTGAGACAAGCTATCGCATCAGAATCGATACTAATTGAGACAAGGTATCGTATTAGAATCGATACTAATTGAGACAAGGTTTCGCATTAGAATCGCAGTATCGTGTAGATAAGGTATCGCATCAGAATCGCAGCATTTTGTAGATCAGGTATCGTATAGTTCTGCAAATAATTAACAAGGTATCTCCCAGTCCGTCTGATGCGTTAAGGACCATGGTTAGGTCTCACTTATCACACAAAAGTTCCCTCCCTTACCACACCAATTACCAAATATTGCAGACCAATAAAAAAGGGAAACAAAGGAAAAACAACTCTCCATAACGTCAGGGCCGATAAATATATCCGCCTAATGACTATCCCCCCACCTTACCCCCACCTCCTTTCGATCTCTCCTCGTCTTCAACTTTTTCAAGTTTTTATTTGATTTGTTTTTGTAGTTTCCACTTGGTCAAGCCAAATCTTTGATGTGTCCTGGCAGAAAGCCATTTGCTGCACGGTGTCGGTTCAAGGGGTCCAATCAGACGGCGACCCCCAGATCCCTGGGATAGATCCGGGAAACCCCGACCGCTCCGTGGTATGACGATGTATTCACATTGTCACCAGAGGCAGAACTAAAAACACCCCCCCCCCCCCCACCCCGCCTCGCAACGAAAGTTTTTCCTTCTCATGACCATTGTACGGAACAACGTTTGCCTTTTATATGTAGAGGTTTAGAAGGTTATAGGACCGGGTCCTATTAGACTTTTTAAAGGCGTGTTATACCGCTCCCTCTTCGGCTATTTAAATAAGTATTGGGCCGAATTCGGCAATTTAAATGAGCGTTTGGCGTCTTCCCCCCCCCCCCTCCCCTCCCCACAACAGTTCCTTCACACAACAGTTTTTGTAGTGTCTTTTAAATACACAATTGTGTGAAGAGTTTTTACCAGGCATCTGTTAGCAGGAGGTGAGGTGCACTGCTCCCCCCTCCCCCCCACGGAGCACGACCACTGACCTTCCAAACGTAACCTGTTGTAGCTGTTTTAATGTGGAACTATTTTTATATCGCAAGAATACATTCAGCTACTACAATGTGGAACTTTTTTTTTCTCGCCAGAATACATTTAGCTACTACAATGTAAATTATTTTTTCTCGCCAGAATACATTTAGCTACTACAATGTGGAACTATTTTTTTCTCGCCAGAATACATTTAGCTACTACAATGTAAATTATTTTTTCTCGCCAGAATACATTTAGCTACTACAATGTGGAACTATTTTTTTCTCGCCAGAATACATTTAGCTACTACAATGTGGAACTATTTTTTTCTCGCCAGAATACATTTAGCTACTACAATGTGAAACTATTTTTTTCTCGCCAGAATACATTTAGCTACTACAATGTGGAACTATTTTTTTCTCGCCAGAATAAATTTAGCTACTACAATGTGAAACTATTTTTTCTCGCCAGAATACATTTAGCTACTACAATGTGGAACTATTTTTTTCTCGCCAGAATACATTTAGCTACCATAATGTGGAACTATTTTTTCTCGCCAGAATACATTCAGCTACTACAATGTGGAACTATTTTTTTCTCGCCAGAATACATTTAGCTACTAAAATGTAAATTATTTTTTCTCGCCAGAATACATTTAGCTACTACAATGTGGAACTATTTTTTTCTCGCCAGAATACATTTAGCTACTACAATGTGGAACTATTTTTTTCTCGCCAGAATACATTTAGCTACTAAAATGTAAATTATTTTTTCTCGCCAGAATACATTTAGCTACTACAATGTGGAACTATTTTTTTTCTCGCCAGAATACATTTAGCTACTACAATGTGGAACTATTTTTTTTCTCGACAGAATACATTTAGCTACTACAATGTGGAACTATTTTTTTTCTCGCCAGAATACATTTAGCTACTACAATGTGGAACTATTTTTTTTCTCGCCAGAATACATTTAGCTACTACAATGTGGAACTATTTTTTTCTCGCCAGAATACATTTAGCTACTACAATGTGAAACTATTTTTTTCTCGCCAGAATACATTTAGCTACTACAATGTGGAACTATTTTTTTCTCGCCAGAATACATTTAGCTACTACAATGTGAAACTATTTTTTCTCGCCAGAATACATTTAGCTACTACAATGTGGAACTATTTTTTTCTCGCCAGAATACATTTAGCTACCATAATGTGGAACTATTTTTTCTCGCCAGAATACATTCAGCTACTACAATGTGGAACTATTTTTTTCTCGCCAGAATACATTTAGCTACTAAAATGTAAATTATTTTTTCTCGCCAGAATACATTTAGCTACTACAATGTGGAACTATTTTTTTCTCGCCAGAATACATTTAGCTACTACAATGTGGAACTATTTTTTTCTCGCCAGAATACATTTAGCTACTAAAATGTAAATTATTTTTTCTCGACAGTATACATTTAGCTACTACAATGTGGAACTATTTTTTTTCTCGCCAGAATACATTTAGCTACTACAATGTGGAACTATTTTTTTTCTCGCCAGAATACATTTAGCTACTACAATGTGGAACTATTTTTTTCTCGCCAGAATACATTTAGCTACTACAATGTGGAACTATTTTTTCTCGCCAGAATACATTTAGCTACTACAATGTGGAACTATTTTTTTTCTCGCCAGAATACATTTAGCTACTACAATGTGGAACTATTTTTTTTCTCGCCAGAATACATTCAGCTACTACAATGCGGCTTTTGAAGGTGAAGTAATCACAGAGCCCAGCAAACGACCAAGCCTCGCGGATGTCGTCAGTGAGTGCAGCTTATATGTGCATCTCTTCAATTTATTCCAGACTTTTCTCACTACAGTACATATTGCCCCTTTGGTGACACAATCAGCGTGTCACCACCTTCCAACATCTTACTAGTGTGTCACCACCTTCCATCATCTTACCAGTGTATCACCGCCTTCCAACATCGTACCAGTGTCTCACCACCTTCCAACATCTTACTAGTGTATCACCACCTTCCATCATCTTACCAGTGTGTCACCGCCTTCCATCATCTTACCAGTGTGTCACCACCTTCCATCATCTTACCAGTGTGTCACCACCTTCCATCATCTTACCAGTGTGTCACCACCTTCCATCATCTTACCAGTGTGTCACCACCTGCGTCATGTCTCCCACAGGCCACATGATGAGACAGAGCACTATCGTGGAGTTGGACGAAGACAACAGCCATCCGTACGGCCGAGACAGCAGCCTGACAGACCTGATCACGGGAAAACGCCGGGACAGCTACACCGTGGACGCCGGAAAAATGATTGTATGGCTAGTGCTGGCAATCATGATTGTCAGTCTAGCAGGGGGGATCATTTTCATGTCAGGTAAATCACCACAATTCTCACACACTACTCCCCCACACTAAAACCTCCACACTCCCACACACACCAAATGTTCCACACACTAATCCAACACACCCTCTTTTCTCTCCCCCCACATTAATCCCACACACACGTCTCTCCCCCCCACACATTACTCCTCCACACACAACTCCCACCACTACTACTCCCTAGCATGGGCTTAAACACAACATCATCACCACACCAGTCAATAACAACAACATCACCACACCAGTCAACAACAACATCATCACCACACCAGTCAACAACAACATCACCACACCAGTCAACAACAACAACAACATCATCACTACACCAGTCAACAACAACAACATCATCACTACACCAGTCAACAACAACAACATCATCACTACACCAGTCAACAACAACAACATCATCACTACACCAGTCAACAACAACAACAACATCACCACACCAGTCAACAACAACAACAACATCACTGCACCAGTCAACAACATCATCACCACACCAGTCAACAACAACAACAACAACAACATCACCACACCAGTCAACAACATCATCACTAAACCAGTCAACAACATCATCACTAAACCAGCCAACAACATCACTAAACCAGTCAACAACATCACTGCACCAGTCAACAACAACATCAGTAAACCAGTCAACAACAACATCATCACTGCACTAATCAACAACAACATCACTAAACCAGTCAACAACATCACTGCACCAGTCAACAACATCACCACACCAGTCAACAACATCATCACTGCACCAGTCAACAACATCATCACTGCACTAATCAACAACAACATCACTAAACCAGTCAACAACATCACTACACCAGTCAACAACATCACTAAACCAGTCAACAACATCATTACCACACCAATCAACAACATTATCACTGCACCAGTCAACAACATCATCACTACACCAGTCAACAACATCACTAAACCAGTCAACAACATCACTACACCAGTCAACAACATCACTAAACCAGTCAACAACATCACTAAACCAGTCAACAACATCATTACCACACCAATCAACAACATTATCACTGCACCAGTCAACAACATCATCACTACACCAGTCAACAACATCACTAAACCAGTCAACAACATCACTACACCAGTCAACAACATCACTAAACCAGTCAACAACATCACTGCACCAGTCAACAACAACATCACTACACCAGTCAACAACATCACTAAACCAGTCAACAACATCATTACCACACCAATCAACAACATTATCACTGCACCAGTCAACAACATCATCACTACACCAGTCAACAACATCACTAAACCAGTCAACAACATCACTAAACCAGTCAACAACATCATTACCACACCAATCAACAACATTATCACTGCACCAGTCAACAACATCATCACTACACCAGTCAACATCATCACCACACCAGTTAACAACATCATCATCACTACATCCACTTTTACATCTACTTATTTGATCACTGCCGACAAAAGCAGTCTGTTCTCAGATGAGGAGGGGGGGGGGGGGGGGGGAACGTGTCACCAGCTCAAAGGGGCGTGGCAAAGTCACGTTCTTGTCGTCAGGCGATGGCAGCATCCTGTCTTGATGTCATACTTTGTGACGTCTGATGCAATATGTGGCACTGGCCTCAACGCATGTGGCAGTGATCTCACCACATGTGGCAGTGGTCTCACCACATGTGGCAGTGGTCTCACCACATGTACCGTTAGTGTAGACTGTAGAGCGTATACTCCCGTGTTAAGGAACCCTCTAGTGACGTCATGGTGAGAGATGTGATGATGTGACGTCACTCAGATGTGTGATCTAGTGACGTCATCGTGTGATCAATGACTGGGAAATGTTTTTATTTCAGTGCTCCTAACATCGATTTAAAAACAATACCCCCCCTCATCTCACACAATCCTCAGCCCCCCTCCTTTCATCTCATCTCACACACACACACACACACACCTCAGCCACCACCCTCAGCGTGATAGATAGGCCTGTAAACGCGGGCTGTGATTGATGAATCGATTAGTGTGTGATTTTTTATTTGTAGATATTTTGCTATTTTTTAGGACTAGCAACAGCTCTTATAACGACACCTTTTATTCTTGTGACAGAGACCTTTTATTCTTGTGACAGAGACCTTTTATTCCTGTAACAGAGACCTTTTATTCTTGTAACAGAGACCTTTTATTCTTGTGACAGAGACCTTTTATTCTTGTAACAGAGACCTTTTACTCTTGTGACAGAGACCTTTTATTCTTGTGAGAGAGACCTTTTATTCTTGTGACAGACCTTTTATTCTTGTAACAGAGACCTTTTATTCTTGTAACAGAGACCTTTTATTCTTGTGACAGAGACATTTTATTCTTGTGAGAGAGACCTTTTATTCTTGTGAGAGAGACCTTTTATTCTTGTGAGAGAGACCTTTTATTCTTGCGACAGAGACCTTTTATTCTTGTGACAGAGACCTTTTACTCTTGTGACAGAGACCTTTTATTCTTGTGAGAGAGACCTTTTATTCTTGTGAGAGAGACCTTTTATTCTTGTAACAGAGACCTTTTATTCTTGCGACAGAGACCTTTTATTCTTGTGACAGAGACCTTTTATTCTTGTGAGAGAGACCTTTTATTCTTGTAACAGAGACCTTTTATTCTTGTGACAGAGACCTTTTATTCTTGTAACAGAGACCTTTTATTCTTGTGACAGAGACCTTTTATTCTTGTAACAGAGACCTTTTATTCTTGTAACAGAGACCTACAACATGAACCAGAAAAATGACGTCACTATCGCCAGCATCGAGACAACCACATGGTCTAAGTCCTACAGCAGGTGACGTCATCAGGCCAGCCTTGATTGGATGAAACCACTAGAACGTTACTCTCATCACAAACTTACACCAATTAGCAAACCTAGACCTAGTTCTGAAAGACTCGATTCGTCCACACTACTGGGGCGTCTGTTTGATCAACTCTACTGTGGCGCCTGATTGATCAGCTCTACTGGGGCGTCTGTTTGATCAACTCTACTGTGGCGCCTGATTGATCAGCTCTACTGGGGCGCCTGTTTGATCGGCTCTACTGGGGCGTCTGTTTGATCGACTCTACTGGGGCGTCTGTTTGATCGACTCTACTGGGGCGCCTGTTTGGTCAGCTCTACTGGGGCGCCTGTTTAATCAACTCTACTGGGGCGCCTGTTTAATCGACTCTACTGGGGCGTCTGTTTGATCGACTCTACTGGGGCGCCTGTTTGGTCAGCTCTACTGGGGCGCCTGTTTAATCAACTCTACTGGGGCGCCTGTTTAATCGGCTCTACTGGGGCGCCTGTTTGGTCAGCTCTACTGGGGCGTCTGTTCTCTAGACTATGTTGTTGAACAACGTTATATAGCACTGTGCTAGTCTGATGTTACATAGCACGGTACTAGTCTAATGTTATGTAGCACTGTGTTAGGCTTATGTTATATAGCATGGTACTAGTTTCATGTTAGTTACTAGTTTCATATAGCAGGGTACTAGTGTTATATAGCATTGTGCTAGGCTTATGTTATATAGCACTTTGCTGGTCTCATGTTATATAGCACTGTGCTAGTCTAATGTTACATAGCACGTTACTAGTCTCTTGTTATATATATAGCACTAGTACATGCTATATAATATAGCATGGTACTATTCTGATGTTATATAGCACTGCGCTAGTATGATGTTATGAAATAGACCCACATTTTCCATACAATAGTTTGAACCAATGACGTCATTCCAGTGATGGTATAGCTAACCTAAATGTTTGGAGTTTTTGGGGATATAGGTCCTTTGACAGTCCATTCTGCACTTGTGGATACCCGACATAAGTTGGAGAAATTACAGCTAGTCAGGCAAGAAGCTGGCTACATGTATGTATAACTGGATTTTGTTTGACCTTTTGCTACTTTACTTGTAAACAGCTTATCAGCTGTATTTCAGTACCCAGCATAAACTTATTACTTGACTAAACTATTTGAGCGTGTAAAAATGTTGCTGTAACTTGTGTAAAGACTTGAAGGTGTGACGTCACTACGTTGAATGTCTAATACTGATTATGCAAAAGTGTTTATAACAGGATTTTCACAGGTGTATTGCATTGCTTGTTTAATTCATTTACTTAGTTTGATAAATATTTGCCGAAATAATCGTCTTTAAAAATGTCCCTTTTGTTTTCCCTATGGTTACAATATTTGTGCAGGATGCCTTTGGTCTGTTCGCTTTGAATTTTATTTTTTTAATTAGTCCTCATTGTATTAATATAATTTCAGTAGACACATATATTCATGCACACACATATATACATGCACATATATATACATACATTTATATACATAAGTATAAAAAGAAATTCAGATGAAGTTCGTGATCTTCAAAAAGGTTGTCTCATCAGATCAATGCAGTCTCTTTTTGCAAGCAATCTAAACCTTGAACTTGCAGTATAGGTTACTGCAGTTATTATAAATGGTTGCAGTATAGGTTACTGCAGTTATTATAAATGGTTACAGTAAAGGTTACTGCAGTTATTATAAAATGGTTGCAGTATAGGTTACTGCAGTTATAAAATGGTTGCAGTATAGGTTACTGCAGTTATTATAAAATGGTTGTCAGAAATTTGAGCTGTGGCACAGGCAAAGATCTTCACGGGGAAGTAACTCAGTTTATTCTTTCTGCAGCAGGCTACCTCCCCTGATTAATATTTTCATCACCGTTTGATGCTGAGACCAGCTATAAATAGATGTGTAACATAAACCACAGCACTAGACTTAAGTCAACTTTAGACTTAAGTCAACCCAAAACATTTACCCCAAGAAACAACAAAAAATTATGTTTACAAATCCAATAGAAATTTTATTATATCAATTATATACACCTGCAAGCAGTTTTTTCTATACAAAAACCTTCCAAAAATCTCAAGAGGCTGACCAGCGCTGACACAAGTTGACCTGCTTTACAAACTTTGACCGCTAGTCCTTAACATTTGAGTGAGTTAAAAGTGGGGCTAAATATAAAGTGTTAGGTCATACTTGACAGACAGTTGCATAACTGGAGCTATCCCTTGATTTAATGACTAACACTGGAACAATCCCTTGATCACTAACGACTGGAATAATTAAGTGACTCTCAATCACATCAGATTAATGCAAGCATCAATACAATGAATATTAGATGGATACATGAATGTCTGTGTGTTGTGTGAATGTGCTGGAATCACACAAAAATGGATGAATGTTCTCCCTTGAAACAAACACTGCAAATTCCAAAGATTATTTATAAAAATGTTCAGTTTCCTGATGAACAACATTGATGTAAGTGAAGATTAAAATGTTTGACAATAGATAAGCCCTAAAGATGTAAGAGATTCTGTGCTTATAGAACAGATAGAAAAACATACAAATACCATCAGCAGTTTTCAAGCATGGATCCCAAAACAGAACTAGTTACTTTTAGAGGAGAGGACACACTATGATGGGTCTAACATTAGGATAGAAGAAAATAATGTGAAGACGTACTGGGTTATTTGATAACTCATGGAGTGTTCAAGTTTATAAGTGTATTATGTCCCTTTATTTTTAAAAAACTAAGAAAAAAACATGTACAATTTGGTGACTGTCCACCATAAGTCTACATTTTTATTTACATTTGAGTTGACCATCAACTTTGATAAGTGGGTGGTCAGCAAGTCAGTGGTCAGATATTGACCAGACCTGGTAGGTGAGTGGTCAGATATTGACCAGACAGACTGGGCAGGAAAAGTTTACATTCACAACATTTTGTCATAAAACCTGAATCTCTAAGATTGTTTTTTTTAGTTAGCAAGAAGGAAATAAAAAACTATGTTCAGATATGAATGAATACAATATGAATTTTAAAAAATGTAACGAGAAAATTCTGTACAGCTGCATGTTATTTACATATAGTTGTTTGGTGCTGGGTACTTTTCATTCTTCTTGTCTTTGCCAGCTAAAAGTAAACAAACAGAGGCAAAAAGGCAGAACCATCCCGACATGCAGCACAGGCCGTAGGACCAGGACAGCAGGTTCATGTCAGGCCGGGGGATCCACAGTCTGTCCTCCTTGAACACGCCAAACACAATCAGTGCGATCAGGATCACAACCACTGAAACAAATATTTTATCACAACCACTGAAATATTTTATCACAACCACTGAAACAAATATTTTATCACAACCACTGAAACAAAATATTTTATCACAACCACTGAAACTAATATTTTATCACAACCACTGAAACAAATATTTTATCACAACCACTGAAACAAATATTTTATCACAACCACTGAAACAAATATTTTATCACAACCACTGAAAAATTTTATCACAACCACTGAAACAAATATTTTATCACAACCACTGAAACAAAATATTTTATCACAACCACTGAAATAATTTATCACAACCACTGAAACAAATATTTTATCACAACCACTGAAAAATTCAAATACACTGCTTTTAAAACAGATGTACACATAATTTCACCAGTTGTTATTTTCTCTCTTTGTGACATCTGCAAATTTCTTTAAGGGCATGGGCGGGTGTACTTTTCGTCATAAATCCACTAAATCATCGATTTCCAACTTTTACTTGATCTATACAGAATAACCATCGTTGAATCTAAAAATGACATTGTTATGACCCTAAAAACAGTATTTAATTATGAAAAACCGGGTTCAATGTAGTGTGTACATGGTCTTTTGTTTAATTTTTTGGTAAAAATAGCAATTTTTCGACCTAGAAAAGTACTATTAGGCTTCGCGGAAACCTAATGTGTTTCATATCAATGGAAAGGCCGTGACCTCCTTTCTTTATTTGTTCTAAAATTAAATGACCAATCAAAATACATATTTTAATGTGATTATTTTTCTACGTCATAAAGTTGTTTATTTTACTCAGTCGGGTTTTTCCGGTATGCAAATTTTTGACCTCAATTTTTTCATTGGCATACGACGGCGGTTAGCGATTGGTCGTTTCGCTTCGGGAGTAAACATTCCCTTAGTATCAGCGCGTTGCTAAGTTTGATCTAGTTTTGTTTCTCTAAGCTTCTGTAAAATACTTACATTATTTTAACATATAATTATTTCAATTAAATATACTATTAACAGTTTAGATTAGTTTGTGTGAATTATCATAAGCAGTGAGACGATTTAATTTGTTTCTCTTTCGATAATGCGTAGAACAAAATACTCGCTAAAAATAGATACACACATCTAACTAATTTACTAAAGCTAGGGCTCGTCCGAATGCAACTGATTGCAGCTACCTCTACTAAATCTAGCACTATTCAGACAAGCACTGGTGCAGATGTAATATGCACATTTACTAAGAAACTGCGGCAATGTAAGACACAGTTTTTACAGACAGAAGAAAGCACTGTTACATCTAGTACTAGTAGTACTAATTGTAAACCACAGCCATGCAGAATTATTGTCGACTGTGATTTGCTTCTTGATGTTATCAATACATTTCCTCGCACACTGTGATGTAGTGGCTACTATTGATGAAAACAGTGTAAAGGGTTTACTTCAAGCATGGTGTGGCAGTAATAAAAATGTTGTAAACCGTAAGTATACAACTGCAAAAGAATCCAGAACAAGGCCTTTCACAATAAACAAAGACGTCTTATCATAATTGGCTTTAGACATGAGACCATGCAAAATATACTGCTGTTTCTGTGATAGCATAATTCAATTTTGGGCCCAGGCATGCTATGGCATTGCTGTCAAAAGAAGGAAACCATAGTCGAGGACCCAGTGAAGACGCGAAAAAAGACGCCATGACAACAGCTTTACTACAACTCTAGGTAAAACAAACAGCGCCAGAAAAAAAGAAAACTAACAGCCGAACAAGCTCAGAAGGAATATATTCAGCAGCACCATACTTCAGGCTATAAATGTGGTCGATTTTAGTGACATACAGCGATAAATGTTCATTTTTTGCAACTTTTTGTTAGTTTTTTGCGTTTTTCTCAGTTTGATGTTTTTTTGTACAATTGTTGAAATAACTTTGTTAATAATTATCAGAACTGAACTAAATTTGCTCCAGTTACTCTTTATATATGTTCAAAGAAAACTGATAGAACACTTTTGGAATTTTTGTAAAAAAATAATTTTTGTTGTTGAAATAGTGAAAAAATTGGACGAAATAATGAAATTTTTACAGTAATGTTTTTAAAAAAAAAGTAAAAAAAAAACTATTTTCTTTTTTGAAAATGTAATCTATCAGAAGTCTTAAACACATGTGTCTGCAGACTATATTAAGTTTTCATGAAATTTGAACAAACCATTTTTGAGTTATTTCCATTTAAAAATCGTCAATAAAATCCAATATGGCCGCCGTCACCATGGCAACGGAAGATTTAAAAAATTAAAAAAAATATTTTTATGCTTAACTCTTTGAGTTATAACTATTAGCCAAGTATTACATCTTTAGACTCGGAAATAAGGAAGTTGGTACTCATCACCCGCCCATGCCCTTAATATAAAAAGCTGAATCTAGAGTGTGTAACTGATACTTATTATTTCCATTCCATATTTCTGTTTGTATGCAAGGGTTAAAATAACTAGACACCCACCCACAAAATCCCATTGATGTCTGATTGACAATATCTAACCTTTGAACTTACCACAAAATCATGTTGATGTCTGATTGACGACAGCTAACCTTTCAACTTACCACAAAATCCCATTGATGTCTGATTGACAACAGCTAACCTTTCAACTTACCACAAAATCCTGTTGATGTCTGATTGACAACAGCTAACCTTTCAACTTACCACAAAATCCTGTTGATGTCTGATTGACAACAGCTAACCTTTGAACTTACCACAAAATCATGTTGATGTCTGATTGACAACAGCTAACCTTTGAACTTACCACAAAATCATGTTGATGTCTGATTGACAACAGCTAACCTTTGAACTTACCACAAAATCCTGTTGATGTCTGATTGACAACAGCTAACCTTTGAACTTACCACAAAATCCCATCATAGCTCCTGTGCCCAACAGCACTGCAAACTCGATGTGCTTGGGGAAAAGCCTGAAACCATACAGGACTAAACACACAGACACCAAGAAAATGAAGAGCAGCGAGGCCGACACCATGACTTGAACCGATACAAACCAAGCTGAAATTTAAAAAAAAAAATTAATTATCCAAGAAAAAATGTAATTAAGGATTCTCTGCTACAAAAGTTCATACTTTGATTAATTCATTCATTGTAGATCTACACTAGTGAAGAATTTTAGCCAACTTTTGTTGTAATTTGAACTAGACTAGATGTTTATAACAAACAATAAACTAAGAATATTTTCTGGCCTGCTAGTTGGTGACCCTCCCCAATTACAAATAAAGCAATAGGCTTTTTTTTCTTAACAAACTCATGGTGAATTATAATATAATAATAATATCAGACCTACAGAACAGAATTATAATATTAAAGTAGGGCCTACAGAATCTGTGAGTAGAGTCAGAGACATCACCTAGATCTATCTAAAACTATAGGCCTAGGCTCTATAAAGAAATGAATTCAGAATTATAGATAGGCATAAAGATTGGAAGATTGATTGAAAATCAAGTTTTAAGTCGTAGATTAGATCTAGACTACTAGATCTACTAGTTTAGTAGTAGATCTAGACTACAGTAGTAGTAGTAGTACTAGTAGTAACATTTAATTTAGACTAGATCTAGACTCTAGTACCCAAAAACATAATTTACTTTTAAAAAATCTTGTAGGCTTTTGGAAAAAAGGTATCGATAAAATTAAGTTTTACCTCTCCAAATATCCCTTGTTTATCATAAGGCTTAGGCCTACAGAGCTAGATCTATATTTATGATATTATTATTATGAAGACACCAAGGTTTTAGTCCAAGACTTATTTCCGGTTTACATGCCTGACATGAAGAAACATTTCCGCGTTGTGAGAAAACCTACCTGAGTTTCATTAGCTGTTACTTCTACAATTTTACCCCACTATATTTTAATGGCCAGACCACGAAGTGTCATCATTTTATTAGCCAAAACTGTAACAGGTGCAACATAAAGCCAAGACTTACGTGGTGATACCCACTCCCATATAGGTCGAATCTCGGGAGAAAACACATAGAAACAGCCGAGGTAACGCTTGCCATTGTAGTCCTTATAGAAAGTGTAGTCGTTAAAACAAAACTCCCACAAGCCCAGCTTGACGAAGGTTCCTTTAAACTCTTCAAAAGATTCCACCCAATATGGACTGGCGAAGGCAACAATCATGAAGAGAAGGGCCGCGGCCGTGAAAACACAGCCCACGATCGTTAACATCCCCATTTTGAAAACTTATGTCGCCTGCTTCCTCATTGGCAAATGTAGGTCATTTACCTGTGTTAGGTTTCGCGACATTGGACGAGTCTAAAAAGTTGTCGCAAAATGGGGGTGTCGAGTTTTTCCCCAAAAACTTGACATAAAACAAAAGACAAAAATTAACTAAAAAGTGAAGTTAAGCATCGATCTATTTGGAAATATAATAATTAAATCATCTGAACTGTAGTCCAGACTTTTTTTTAAAACAATCCTAATCCCACATGCTACTAATAACCAAACAATTAAATGTGTAGCCAAGATTATAATTCTAATGAAGAATAATTTCATGAATAACATTACATGTTAACCACTAGAAATGTTGACTCAGACAAGATTGGAAAAATATCAATGTTTTAAAAAAAATTCAACTGCACTTTTGAGGGGTGTTGTAGGCTGAGGCGTGACGGATCATTTTAATGGGGGTGGGGGGGGGGGGGTGGGGGGGTCTGGCTTTTTGTAACGACGTGTGACGGAGAGGAGGGGGGAGGTAAAAATCGTCCTAAAAAGCGTGACGTCATCATGAGACCTGTCACAATATGCTGGGGTATGTTGACACTGTGCCTGCACCTTGGTATCTGTCACAATGTGACTTTTGTCCACTTGGCCCCAAGTTGTACTAAGTTTTAGTGTTGCTCCAGCTCTTGAAAGGTATTAATTTATAAACAAGTAATCAGTCTGTTCACTGATCCAAATATCACGAATTATTGATTGATTTTATCTACACCCATTGGCCTCACAAGCCCGGAAATAATCCGGTGTGCCGTAAATTGTGGCTCGGAACTTCAAAATGGAAATATAGAATGATTAACTATAATCCAAATGCGCGCATTCTTATTTTGTTAGCAATAACATTTGATGTTTTTTTCAGCTCGGAGTAGTCCACAAGCCCCCCCCCCCCCCCATGACATTACTGTTCATACTCCAGGTAATTTAGCACGGAAAATAATTTGTAATTCTATAAGTCATAGCGTTACTTTTAAATGTGGTTTCTCGGTTGAGTTATGGTCACTAATTCATGACTCTTTGCCCCATGAATTGTGCCAACCTGCCCGGGGTAAAACGCCACAAGTTAACCTGACCACTTGCTTAATGTGTTGTTTATGTGACGCATCTTGTTAAGTCTCATGCATATTGATGCACTATAAACATAATGTGTGACTTTTATACCCACTTTTCCCCATTTAGATCTACTGCTAACCCGGTCTCCCTCACGTAATGGACTCTTCCATCCTATAGCCGTTGTAGCCGAAAATAGATATCGTATGTTGACAACTTGACTAGTAGGTGACTAAAGGTAAATAGTAAAATGGCAGGGTCGGCCCGAATATCAGGCTGGACCATTGCTGGAACTATCATGATAGCACTGACCATCGTCGCTCTGCTCTTCGCCAGCGCCTATCCCTACTGGCAACAGTCTGAGAAATCCAGAGACACAGGAATCCCTAGCATCGGGCTCTGGGCTGTGTGTTTCCGCGATGATGGCTACCCAGCACCCGCCTGGGCGGAAGACACGCTAGGAAATCGCTACTATGGCTGCAACTATGTTTTTGATCGGGATTTGAGGAAGATTGTCCACTGGATATATCCTGGTACGCTAGTTAAATTAGTCTAGGTCTAGTAATAATGCAATTTATACAATATTATATTTACTTAGTACTTAGGCCAATATAATACATTATTTAATTATAGTAACGGACTATCTATAACAATAACACAGTTAACACTGCAGTAGTAGATCTAGATCTAGATCTTTTATTACTTTTAGGCCTAACGAATGTTTTTAGATAGTGATGACTGATGTCTGATAATAGACTCTCCCAAAAAATAGGTGTGTTGGGTTGTTAGTAGTATTGTTATCTCAACTAATTTTATGGTTAGAAATTAGGGTTATTTTCATTTGCACGCCCCCCCCCCCCCCTCAAACTTTCAATATGGCGCCCCCCCCTAAGGTTGGCGCCCGGGGACATATGTCCCCCCCCTCCCCCCCCTCGCTACATCCCCTCTGGGGTTAGGTGTATGGTAGGACCAGGGTTAGGGTTAGCATTGACATTAACAAGCCATGTGAGTATTTTAGTTAACTCCTAGAATCTAGGTGTCAATCTATATATATATATTTAATTCTCTTCATGGAGACCATAGAAAACACCACACAGCTTAGCCACCACCCTCATCCCCTGTCAGGTGAGCTGTGGTTCACCCCGAATGTTTACAATCATACGGCTAGGCCCTATTAGGGGCAGATAATTTAGTTTTTAAATGATTTGAAATTCACAAATTATGAATTGTTAATAAGTAGAAAATAAAACAACCAGATAGCGGTGTATGCTACGTCGCATGTCAGCTCGTTAAAAAAATTATACTAACCCTCAAGCATAATTATTGGTATCAGTAGCCTATAAGCCGAATGTATCATCATAATCAGCCACACCTTTGAGCATTTGATGATGATGGACTACTTGCTTGGTCTATTATTTTCTTACCTGTACCAAGATTATTGGTGATAACATTTTAAAAATGTCTGTTTCTAACCTAACCTTGTACAGGATGGTTCATGACAGTTGTGATCTTTGTGACCTTTGGACTGATCACCCAGCCCGTGGGGATCATCCTAAACATTCTGTACTACCTGCGTGTCTGTAGCCCACACAAGGAACACATTCTCATCCTGGTCTCTGTCATTCTCAACACCACAGAAGGTAAGCTCAGACAATTGACCCAGACAGTTGACCCAGACAGTAAGCTCAGACTGTTGACCCAGACAGTAAGCTCAGACTGTTGACCCAGACAGTAAGCTCAGACAGTTGAACCAGACAGTAAGCTCAGACAGTTGACCCAGACAGTAAGCTCAGACTGTTGACCCAGACAGTAAGCTCAGAGACAGTAAGCTCAGACAGTTGACCCAGACAGTTGACCCAGACAGTAAGCTCAGACAGTTGACCCAGACAGTAAGCTCAGACAGTTGACCCAGACAGTAAGCTCAGACAATTGACCCAGACAGTAAGCTCAGACAGTTGACCCAGACAGTAAGCTCAGACAATTGACCCAGACAGTAAGCTCAGACAGTTGACCCAGACAGTTAGCTCAGACAATTGACCCAGACAGTAAGCTCAGACAGTTGACCCAGACAGTTAGCTCAGACAGTTGACCCAGACAGTTAGCTCAGACAGTTGACCCAGACAGTTAGCTCAGACAGTTGACCCAGACAGTAAGCTCAGACAGTTGACCCAGACAGTAAGCTCAGACTGTTGACCCAGACAGTAAGCTCAGACTGTTGACCCAGACAGTAAGCTCAGACAATTGACCCAGACAGTTAGCTCAGACTGTTGACCCAGACAGTAAGCTCAGACTGTTGACCCAGACAGTTAGCTCAGACTGTTGACCCAGACAGTAAGCTCAGACAATTGACCCAGACAGTTAGCTCAGACTGTTGACCCAGACAGTAAGCTCAGACTGTTGACCCAGACAGTTAGCTCAGACTGTTGACCCAGACAGTAAGCTCAGACAGTTGACCTGGACAGTAAGCTCAGACAGTAAGCTCAGACAGTAAGCTTAGACAGTTGACCCAGACAGTAAGCTCAGACTGTTGACCCAGACAGTAAGCTCAGACAGTTGACCCAGACAGTAAGCTCAGACTGTTGACCCAGACAATTGACCCAGACAGTAAGCTCAGACAATTGACTCAGACATCAAATAGTGGCTTGTGATGGTGAAGGAATGGGTGACCATAAAAATGCACAACCAAAAAATGTTCAAAAAAAAAAAAACAACTGGTCATATGAATAGTGCACAAGAAAATATTAAAATGAATGTTTATTAATATGATGAGTTTGTAATTGCACAGTTTACTGTTTGCACATTTCTCTGACTGTTGAATACGTAGCCTATTGTGAAAATTGTATGGCGGTTTTATGAACATATTTTAAATGTTCCATGGACGGTGAATAACGTATTGATCCTGAGTGACTGTACTATAAATGTTGTGTGACTGTTCTATAAATGTTGTGTGACTGTTCTATAAATGTTGTGTGACTAAAAAAAATAGATAACTCCTTAATACACATAAGTTAGATCTCAAAAAATTGTACTAACATTTGTTGCATGTTACAGTTTTTCCTTTATGTTGAATGTTTTTCTTTTTCAACCAAAACTTCCCAATCAAATTTCAGGTCTGCTGGTGGCCATGGCCATAATAATATTTGGCCTAAAGGCGGCCACAGACCAGTATTGGATGCCCCAGCCAGAATCTAATCACCTGTCCTACTCATACGGGGTGTGTGCCCTGGTCCCTGTCTTGTGTTTTCTTGCTGGCATGTGCCACTTTGTTGACTTCCTGCGCCTCAAGTCGTACAAGGACAGAGACGCCAGGGCCAAGATCTATGCTAGAGGGGAGTTTGCCAGATACTGAACTGTGACTCTAAAAATAAAAAATAAAAATAAAATCCAAGAATAGCAGTAAATTGTAAATAAATTTGTCACAAGTTGGAAAAATAAGTTGTTTGAATTGAATTTGCTATATAATGTGTACTTTTCTTTTTTTTGCTTATCATAAAATTGTATTTAAATGATTTCTGGCTTTTTAATTTGAATGTTTTTATGATTTTATCATCTACTAAATAATTTAAAACTTCTTAAAATTAAGTTAAGGATTTTTTATTCTGGTGTGAATGTCAAAGTTCTACAGAAATGTCTATAAATTAAATTTTAAAAATGTGTACATAATAGAACTTTGAATTCTTAATTCATTTTGAAAATTGAAATAAATATGTTGTAATTTTTTATGATTGGCTGGCTCGTGCATATTCTTGTTCCAGCACGTCAGTGTACATAACTCTTTTAGAGACCAGATGGCAGCTTTTATTTATTGAGTTACCTACCTTTAATCTTGTCGTTTTTTTTTATTTCTCTGGAGGGGGGGGGGGGGGTTACTGAGTGCAAAGTCTTAGAATAGTAAATAAAAGCAATCCCTTCCACTGATGAATAATTAATGATTACAGAAGTTAAAACATTTGATGTAATTTGTAGGAATATTTGTAGGAACATAATTTGAGTTAAATGTTTTTCTGGTTTCAGTGGCAGGACGGTCATCTCACTGTCATTTAGTCTGTGTTGACATGTGTCATCTCACTGTCATTTAGTCTGTGTTGACATGTGTCATCTCACTGTCATTTAGTCTGTGTTGACATGTGTCATCTCACTGTCATTTAGTCTGTGTTGACATGTGTCATCTCACTGTCATTTAGTCTGTGTTGACATGTGTCATCTCACTGTCATTTAGTCTGTGTTGACATGTGTCATCTCACTGTCATTTAGTCTGTGTTGACATGTGTCATCTCACTGTCATTTAGTCTGTGTTGACATGTGTCATCTCACTGTCATTTAGTCTGTGTTGACATGTGTCATCTCACTGTCATTTAGTCCATGTTGACATGTCATCTCACTGTCATTTGGTCTGTGTTGACATGTGTCATTTCACTGTCATTTAGTCCGTGTTGACATGTGTCATCTCACTGTCATTTAGTCCATGTTGACATGTCATCTCACTGTCATTTGGTCCGTGTTGACATGTGTCATTTCACTGTCATTTAGTCTGTGTTGACATGTGTCATTTCACTGTCATTTAGTCTGTGTTGACATGTGTCATCTCACTGTCATTTAGTCTGTGTTGACATGTGTCATCTCACTGTCATTTAGTCTGTGTTGACATGTGTCATCTCACTGTCATTTAGTCCATGTTGACATGTCATCTCACTGTCATTTGGTCTGTGTTGACATGTGTCATTTCACTGTCATTTAGTCCGTGTTGACATGTGTCATCTCACTGTCATTTAGTCCATGTTGACATGTCATCCCACTGTCATTTGGTCCGTGTTGACATGTGTCATTTCACTGTCATTTAGTCTGTGTTGACATGTGTCATTTCACTGTCATTTAGTCTGTGTTGACATGTGTCATCTCACTGTCATTTAGTCTGTGTTGACATGTCATCTCACTGTCATTTAGTCTGTGTTGACATGTGTCATTTCACTGTCATTTAGTCCGTGTTGACATGTGTCATCTCACTGTCATTTAGTCCATGTTGACATGTCATCTCACTGTCATTTGGTCCGTGTTGACATGTGTCATTTCACTGTCATTTAGTCTGTGTTGACATGTGTCATTTCACTGTCATTTAGTCTGTGTTGACATGTGTCATCTCACTGTCATTTAGTCTGTGTTGACATGTCATCTCACTGTCATTTAGTCCATGTTGACATGTCATCTCACTGTCATTTAGTCCGTGTTGACATGTCATCTCACTGTCATTTAGTCCCTGTTGACATGTAGAGGCAGTGATACATGATAGCATCACTTGAAGTTTTATTTTGTAACTGTAAAAAATATTTTTATAAAATTATCAGCTGTTTATATGAATTTATATCTGTGTGTATGTTTGTAGCAATGTATATAATATGATTCAATTTATACATATTAAATAAACAGCTGGTTCATTAAGCTTCCCATATTTTTTACTTGGACTTTTTGTCAGTTAAAGGACTTTATAACACCTGGCTATAACACATCACACCTGGCTATATCACATCACACCTGGCTATAACACATCACACCTGGCTATAACACACCACACCTGGTTATAACACATCACACCTGGCTATATCACATCACACCTGACTATAACACATCACATCACACCTGGCTATAACACACCACACCTGGTTATAACACATCACACCTGGCTATAACACATCACACCTGGCTATAACACACCACACCTGGCTATAACACACCACATCACACCTGGCTATAACACACCACACCTGGTTATAACACATCACACCTGGCTATATCACATCACACCTGGCTATAACACATCACACCTGACTATAACACATCACACCTGACTATAACACATCACACCTGGCTATATCACATCACACCTGGCTATAACACACCACACCTGGCTATAACACATCACACCTGACTATAACACATCACACCTGGTTATAACACATCACACCTGGCTATAACACATCACACCTGGCTATAACACACCACACCTGACTATAACACATCACACCTGGCTATATCACATCACACCTGGCTATAACACACCACACCTGGCTATAACACATCACACCTGACTATAACACATCACACCTGGTTATAACACATCACACCTGGCTATAACACATCACACCTGGCTATAACACACCACACCTGACTATAACACATCACACCTGGCTATATCACATCACACCTGGCTATAAGACCACACCTGGCTATAACACATCACACCTGACTATAACACATCACACCTGTCTATAACACATCACACCTGGCTATAACACATCACACCTGGCTATATCACATCACACCTGGCTATAACACACCACACCTGACTATAACACATCACACCTGGCTATATCACATCACACCTGGCTATAACACACCACACCTGGCTATAACACATCACACCTGACTATAACACATCACATCACACCTGGCTATAACACATCACACCTGACTATAACACATCACATCACACCTGGCTATAACACATCACACCTGGCTATAACACATCACACCTGGCTATAACACATCACATCACACCTGTCTATAACACATCAGACCTGACTATAACACACCACATCACACCTGACTATAACACATCACACCTGGCTATAACACATCACACCTGGCTATAACACATCACACCTGGCTATAACACATCACACCTGACTATAACACATAACACCTGGCTATAACACATCACACCTGACTATAACACATCACACCTGGCTATAACACACCACATCACACCTGGCTATAACACATCACACCTGGCTATAACACGTCACACCTGGCTATAACACATCACACCTGACTATAACACACCACATCACACCTGACTATAACACATCACACCTGGCTATAACACACCACACCTGGCTATAACACATCACACCTGGCTATAACACATCACACCTGGCTATAACACATCACACCTGGCTATAACACATCACACCTGGCTATAACACATCACATCTGACTATAACACACCACATTACACCTGGCTATAACACATCTCACCTGACTATATCACATCACACCTGGCTATAACACATCACACCTGGCTATAACACATCACACCTGGCTATAACACATCACACCTGGCTATAACACATCACACCTGGCTATAACACACCACATCACACCTGGCTATAACACATCACACCTGGCTATAACACATCACACCTGGCTATAACACATCACACCTGGCTATAACACATCACACCTGGCTATAACACATCACACCTGGCTATAACACATCACACCTGGCTATAACACATCACACCTGGTTATAACACATCACACCTGGCTATAACACATCACACCTGGCTATAACACATCACACCTGGCTATATCATATCACACCTGTCTATAACACATTACACCTGGCTATATCACATCACACCTGGCTATAACACACCACACCTGGCTATAACACATCACACCTGACTATAACACATCACACCTGGCTATAACACATCACACCTGGCTATAACACATCACACCTGGCTATATCATATCACACCTGGCTATAACACATCACACCTGACTATATCACATCACACCTGTCTATAACACATCACACCTGACTATAACACATCACACCTGGCTATATCATATCACACCTGGCTATAACACATCACACCTGACTATAACACACCACATCACACCTGGCTATACACATCACACCTGGCTATAACACATCACACCTGGCTATATCATATCACACCTGGCTATAACACATCACACCTGACTATATCACATCACACCTGTCTATAACACATCACACCTGACTATAACACATCACATCACACCTGGCTATAACACATCACACCTGGCTATAACACATCACACCTGGCTATATCATATCACACCTGTCTATAACACATCACACCTGACTATATCACATCACACCTGTCTATAACACATCACACCTGACTATAACACATCACACCTGGCTATAACACATCACACCTGGCTATATCATATCACACCTGTCTATAACACATTACACCTGGCTATATCACATCACACCTGGCTATAACACGGGTCAGTGTGAACGTCCAAATGTTGAATCTAACATCAAATACTTTCAAAATTTTAAAGATAAAAAACAGCATATTAAATTATAAAATTTCACGAGTTCCTCCATTTAAAACAACACCAGATGAAGGGGTGAATAAATGGATCCGATGTAACTATACCGACTATTACCCGATGTAACTGTATACTGACTATTACCGACTGACTAAGACAAAAAAAAAATGCAATTTTTTAAACGCAGGAGGGTAGGGGGCATTGACCGCGACAATTTTCTAAAGTAAAGTTCACGGTGTTTCCTGAGGAGGCTACTACTTACAAATGTTATCATCTATCTTCTATATATATAATTCTCTTCTGGGAGACTTTAGAAAACAAGCTGCAAGCGCGCCTTACAGTCCCCTTTCTTTCTCTCTGTCGCTACCACCCCCCACCCCCTCACATGGTCTGGTGAGCGGTGTTCACTCTAAATGTTTATATTCGTTGAGCCGGGATTGGTGACGGCTATTAGGGGCAGATAATTTAGTTTGAAACGATTTTAAACTAAGAGGAGGCTGCTTTCACGTGGGGGTGGGGGAGGGGGGGAAAGGGGGGGGGGGGGTTAGTGTTTTAAAGCAAATATTTTCAGTGGCAGCATTGGTACTGTCGAATTCACAAATTATGAATTACTGAAAAGTAGAAAAAACAACAACTAAATAGCGGCGTATGATACACCGCGGGTCGGCTCGTTATTAATATTACAAAACATCTACGAGTGCGTGCAGAAAAAAAAATCCTATTAAATACAAAAATTAATGTTTAATACTTTCCAGTTTGTTTGGTTAAGGTAAAAAACATTGAAATAAACCAAGCGCTTTATTTGTAGGGTCTAATTTATACACTTTATTTCAGTCATTCAAAATATACTTATTTGTTCAACACTACTTTTAATATTTAGGCCTGGTAAGAAATATCACCGAAAATATCAAATTCCTATGTTAAAAATTTAGGTGGACGTCATAAATGGATGCTCTCGTGGCTGGCATTTTTTGTGCAAGACGTCGAACATTCAACTCAGTGTAATAAGGGGTGCATGAATGACAGCTGCACATCACTTAAATGACAGCGACACATCACTTAAGACTTAAATGACAAGGCAAGGAACTAAAGCACATGCTTCCCCCCCCCCCTCCCCCGGATTGGTATATACTTGAGATTAGTAGCGAATGTCGTGGTTGTATTTAATTGTCAAATGTTAGTAAATGTGGGATGGTGACTACTTTAACGTCACGATATGGTGACCACTGTGTCTTCACGTGGTGACCACTGTGTCTTCACGTGGTGACCACTATGTCCACATAAGGTGACCACTATGTCCACATAAGGTGACCATCATGTCCTCATAAGGTGACCACTATGTCCTCTAGATATGATGACCACTATGTCATTATCACACAAGTAAAGAAAGAAGAAAAATATTCTTTAATGTCCTTATCTTAAAATATATTTTTTAAACTACTAATTTAATATCTGGTTAGGTAAAAATTGAGATATTTTTTACTTGTCTTTGAAGAAGCAACTAATCTGCATAACTTGAAAGACATTGGTCAAAACTGATTCAAATTCACAGAAAAAACTATGGTGGCCCAATAAACGCTTTTAGAAATTAAAAAAAAAATGTTGGTCGCAAAAAATATTTGTAAAAATTGTTACCGTGCTTTAATTACTTTTAATTTTTTAATGTATATTTACTTTGAATTTTAAGGGCATTAAAAACGTGTTTTTCCAACATGACAAGTGCATGCTCCAGTTGTATCGATTGGCTAGTTGTAAGTGGTCGCCTGATTGGTTAGTTATCTTTCTGATGAATGTAAGTGGTGGCTGAGTTGTTGACTACACACGATGTGAAATATGAGTGCGTGTTGTGGAGTTTGTTGTGTGCTCTAGTGAGATGAGGTCAAGTCACTCGAAATGGTACACTGAGACCAACCTCGAGACGTGTGAGTTTCCAAGCGGACACACTAGGGACAGTTTTAACGGCTTTATAAACTATTGTTGAAAGGTGAATTATTAGATTGATAGATTTCAGAGTAATTCAGAGTTAGATCTATAAGTTCAACTTGTCTTGATATTTTAGCTTTGTGGCGATATGTTTGTGTATGTTTTTGTGTGTGTGGCTATTTTTCTAGTCAAAATTATTTTTGAAACTCATTAAAAAGTTAATCGGATTAAAGACTGGCTTCTATAGTGTACAGGAAAAACAGTTTGGACGCCGTGAATTAGCACGACTTACAAAGTGGAGAGGACAAGATAGATCTAACACTTGGTGAGTTCCCTCATTTGGCTTTAGTTCCGTGACCCAGATGTTTTAACTATCTGAAAGTTCCCCGCTTGTGTTCCAGGGCCTCTAATATCCCAGATGTTTTAACTATCTGAAAGTTCCCTGCTTGTGTTCCAGGGCCTCTAATATCCCAGATGTTTTAACTATCTGAAAGTTCCCTGCTTGTGTTCCAGGGCCTCTAATATCCCAGATGTTTTAACTATCTGAAAGTTCCCTGCTTGTGTTCCAGGGCCTCTAGTATCCCAGATGTTTTAACTATCTGAAAGTTCCCTGCTTGTGTTCCAGGGCTTCTAATATCCCAGATGTTTTAACTATCTGAAAGTTCCCTGCTTGTGTTCCAGGGCTTCTAATATCCCAGATGTTTTAACTATCTGAAAGTTCCTTGCTTGTGTTCCAGGGCCTCTAATATCCCAGATGTTTTAACTATCTGAAAGTTCCTTGCTTGTGTTCCAGGGCCTCTAATATCCCAGATGTTTTAACTATCTGAAAGTTCCCTGCTTGTGTTCCAGGGCCTCTAGTATTTCAGATGTTTTAACTATCTGAAAGTTCCCTGCTTGTGTTCCAGGGCCTCTAATATCCCAGAAGTTCCCTGCTTGTGTTCCAGGGCTTCTAATATCCCAGATGTTTTAACTATCTGAAAGTTCCCTGCTTGTGTTCCAGGGCCTCTAATATCCCAGATGTTTTAACTATCTGAAAGTTCCCTGCTTGTGTTCCAGGGCTTCTAATATCCCAATTGTTTTAACTATCTGAAAGTTCCCTGCTTGTGTTCCAGGGCCTCTAATATCCCAGAAGTTCCCTGCTTGTGTTCCAGGGCCTCTAATATCCCAGAATTTCCCGGCTTGTGTTCCAGGGCTTCTAATATCCCAGATGTTTTAACTATCTGAAAGTTCCCTGCTTGTGTTCCAGGGCCTCTAATATCCCAGATGTTTTAACTATCTGAAAGTTCCCTGCTTGTGTTCCAGGGCCTCTAATATCCCAGATGTTTTAACTATCTGAAAGTTCCCTGCTTGTGTTCCAGGGCCTCTAATATCCCAGAAGTTCCCTGCTTGTGTTCCAGGGCTTCTAATATCCCAGATGTTTTAACTATCTGAAAGTTCCCTGCTTGTGTTCCAGGGCCTCTAATATCCCAGATGTTTTAACTATCTGAAAGTTCCCTGCTTGTGTTCCAGGGCTTCTAATATCCCAGATGTTTTAACTATCTGAAAGTTCCCTGCTTGTGTTCCAGGGCCTCTAATATCCCAGATGTTTTAACTATCTGAAAGTTCCCTGCTTGTGTTCCAGGGCCTCTAATATCCCAGATGTTTTAACTATCTGAAAGTTCCCTGCTTGTGTTCCAGGGCCTCTAATATCCCAGATGTTTTAACTATCTGAAAGTTCCCTGCTTGTGTTCCAGGGCCTCTAATATCCCAGATGTTTTAACTATCTGAAAGTTCCCTGCTTGTGTTCCAGGGCTTCTAATATCCCAGATGTTTTAACTATCTGAAAGTTCCCTGCTTGTGTTCCAGGGCCTCTAATATCCCAGATGTTTTAACTATCTGAAAGTTCCCTGCTTGTGTTCCAGGGCTTCTAATATCCCAGATGTTTTAACTATCTGAAAGTTCCCTGCTTGTGTTCCAGGGCCTCTAATATCCCAGAAGTTCCCTGCTTGTGTTCCAGGGCCTCTAATATCCCAGAATTTCCCTGCTTGTGTTCCAGGGCTTCTAATATCCCAGATGTTTTAACTATCTGAAAGTTCCCTGCTTGTGTTCCAGGGCCTCTAATATCCCAGATGTTTTAACTATCTGAAAGTTCCCCGCTTGTGTTCCAGGGCCTCTAATATCCCAGATGTTTTAACTATCTGAAAGTTCCCTGCTTGTGTTCCAGGGCCTCTAATATCCCAGAAGTTCCCTGCTTGTGTTCCAGGGCTTCTAATATCCCAGATGTTTTAACTATCTGAAAGTTCCCTGCTTGTGTTCCAGGGCCTCTAATATCCCAGATGTTTTAACTATCTGAAAGTTCCCTTCTTGTGTTCCAGGGCCTCTAATATCCCAGATGTTTTAACTATCTGAAAGTTCCCTGCTTGTGTTCCAGGGATTCTAATATCCCAGATGTTTTAACTATCTGAAAGTTCCCTGCTTGTGTTCCAGGGCCTCTAATATCCCAGATGTTTTAACTATCTGAAAGTTCCCTGCTTGTGTTCCAGGGCTTCTAATATCCCAGATGTTTTAACTATCTGAAAGTTCCCTGCTTGTGTTCCAGGGCCTCTAATATCCCAGATGTTTTAACTATCTGAAAGTTCCCTGCTTGTGTTCCAGGGCCTCTAATATCCCAGATGTTTTAACTATCTGAAAGTTCCCTGCTTGTGTTCCAGGGCCTCTAATATCCCAGATGTTTTAACTATCTGAAAGTTCCCTGCTTGTGTTCCAGGGCCTCTAATATCCCAGATGTTTTAACTATCTGAAAGTTCCCTGCTTGTGTTCCAGGGCCTCTAATATCCCAGATGTTTTAACTATCTGAAAGTTCCCTGCTTGTGTTCCAGGGCCTCTAATATCCCAGATGTTTTAACTATCTGAAAGTTCCCTGCTTGTGTTCCAGGGCCTCTAATATCCCAGATGTTTTAACTATCTGAAAGTTCCCTGCTTGTGTTCCAGGGCCTCTAATATCCCAGATGTTTTAACTATCTGAAAGTTCCCTGCTTGTGTTCCAGGGCCTCTAATATCCCAGATGTTTTAACTATCTGAAAGTTCCCTGCTTGTGTTCCAGGGCTTCTAATATCCCAGATGTTTTAACTATCTGAAAGTTCCCTGCTTGTGTTCCAGGGCCTCTAATATCCCAGATGTTTTAACTATCTGAAAGTTCCCTGCTTGTGTTCCAGGGCTTCTAATATCCCAGATGTTTTAACTATCTGAAAGTTCCCTGCTTGTGTTCCAGGGCCTCTAATATCCCAGATGTTTTAACTATCTGAAAGTTCCCTGCTTGTGTTCCAGGGCCTCTAATATCCCAGATGTTTTAACTATCTGAAAGTTCCCTGCTTGTGTTCCAGGGCCTCTAATATCCCAGATGTTTTAACTATCTGAAAGTTCCCTGCTTGTGTTCCAGGGCTTCTAATATCCCAGATGTTTTAACTATCTGAAAGTTCCCTGCTTGTGTTCCAGGGCCTCTAATATCCCAGATGTTTTAACTATCTGAAAGTTCCCTGCTTGTGTTCCAGGACCTCTAATATCCCAGCTGTTTTAACTATCTGAAAGTTCCCTGCTTGTGTTCCAGGGCCTCTAATATCCCAGATGTTTTAACTATCTGAAAGTTCCCTGCTTGTGTTACAGGGCCTCTAATATCCCAGATGTTTTAACTATCTGAAAGTTCCCTGCTTGTGTTCCAGGGCCTCTAATATCCCAGATGTTTTAACTATCTGAAAGTTCCCTGCTTGTGTTCCAGGGCTTCTAATATCCCAGATGTTTTAACTATCTGAAAGTTCCCTGCTTGTGTTCCAGGGCCTCTAATATCCCAGATGTTTTAACTATCTGAAAGTTCCCTGCTTGTGTTCCAGGGCCTCTAATATCCCAGATGTTTTAACTATCTGAAAGTTCCCTGCTTGTGTTCCAGGGCCTCTAATATCCCAGATGTTTTAACTATCTGAAAGTTCCCTGCTTGTGTTCCAGGGCCTCTAATATCCCAGATGTTTTAACTATCTGAAAGTTCCCTGCTTGTGTTCCAGGGCCTCTAATATCCCAGAAGTTCCCTGCTTGTGTTCCAGGGCCTCTAATATCCCAGATGTTTTAACTATCTGAAAGTTCCCTGCTTGTGTTCCAGGGCCTCTAATATCCCAGAAGTTCCCTGCTTGTGTTCCAGGGCCTCTAATATCCCAGAAGTTCCCTGCTTGTGTTCCAGGGCTTCTAATATCCCAGATGTTTTAACTATCTGAAAGTTCCCTGCTTGTGTTCCAGGGCTTCTAATATCCCAGATGTTTTAACTATCTGAAAGTTCCCTGCTTGTGTTCCAGGGCCTCTAATATCCCAGATGTTTTAACTATCTGAAAGTTCCCTGCTTGTGTTCCAGGGCCTCTAATATCCCAGAAGTTCCCTGCTTGTGTTCCAGAGCTTCTAATATCCCAGATGTTTTAACTATCTGAAAGTTCCCTGCTTGTGTTCCAGGGCCTCTAATATCCAAGATGTTTTAACTATCTGAAAGTTCCCTGCTTGTGTTCCAGGGCTTCTAATATCCCAGATGTTTTAACTATCTGAAAGTTCCCTGCTTGTGTTCCAGGGCCTCTAATATCCCAGAAGTTCCCTGCTTGTGTTCCAGGGCCTCTAATATCCCAAAAGTTCCCTGCTTGTGTTCCAGGGCCTCTAATATCCCAAAAGTTCCCTGCTTGTGTTCCAGGGCCTCTAATATCCCAGATGTTTTAACTATCTGAAAGTTCCCTGCTTGTGTTCCAGGACCTCTAATATCCCAGATGTTTTAACTATCTGAAAGCTCCCTGCTTGTGTTCCAGGGCCTCTAATATCCCAGATGTTTTAACTATCTGAAAGTTCCCTGCTTGTGTTCCAGGGCCTCTAATATCCCAGAAGTTCCCTGCTTGTGTTCCAGGGCCTCTAATATCCCAGAAGTTCCCTGCTTGTGTTCCAGGGCTTCTAATATCCCAGATGTTTTAACTATCTGAAAGTTCCCTGCTTGTGTTCCAGGGCCTCTAATATCCCAGATGTTTTAACTATCTGAAAGTTCCCTGCTTGTGTTCCAGGGCCTCTAATATCCCAGATGTTTTAACTATCTGAAAGTTCCCTGCTTGTGTTCCAGGGCCTCTAATATCCCAGAAGTTCCCTGCTTGTGTTCCAGGGCTTCTAATATCCCAGATGTTTTAACTATCTGAAAGTTCCCTGCTTGTGTTCCAGGGCCTCTAATATCCCAGATGTTTTAACTATCTGAAAGTTCCCTGCTTGTGTTCCAGGGCATCTAATATCCCAGATGTTTTAACTATCTGAAAGTTCCCTGCTTGTGTTCCAGGGCCT